CAAATACGCACCTCCCGGGACATATTTCACGAACTCCAGAAATGTCCACGGGACTACATTTTCAGAATGAGCCTGGGTTGAACATAACACAATTATATTACATTCATGTTACGATATGAGAACTGTGGGCTCTTTGTTGGCTTTAAATAGGTTGTTGGTTTCTGAAGTAGAAATCAGAGACATTTCTAATGAAGTTTCATCTGTCGAAATATCACTGAAATCAGAATTGTTATATTCAATGGGACTAGAAAAAATCTGAGAAATCAGAAAAAACAGATACTTTACAGTTTTTTATTTACATTTTATAAATATTAATTTGACCATACCCAGCTTGCAAATAAATCTGGCCCAGATTTGGCACACAGCTGGCACAGCAGGCATTCGTCCGGCATTGGCATGTGGGCCAAACATGGCCCCGGTTTGCCATAGGTGGCACCATCCCTAAGGCGGCACACAAGACTTGGGCATGATATCTGTAGTGCTGTAGTATTTGACCTAGATGTTAAAAATGTATATGTGGGCCACATAAGTTTGGCCTCTCTTGACCCACTTTTAAAATACATTTATATTATTTTTGAGTAAAAAAAAATTCCACCAATCAGGTCGCTTCGAGAAGAAGCATGGCCATAAAGTGAAATGCTTCATGGGTTTATCAAATTCATTGCAGTTGTCATACACCAACATCTGGCCCAGTTAAAGGTTATTAACTTGGCTGAAACTTGGCCCATGTTTGGCCCTTGTATGGAAGCCAGAATTGGTCCAATCATGTACTGTAGTTTACTGCTGCATGTGGGCAAAGCAAAAGCTGATTTTGTGGATCAGATCTGGACCAGAGAAATTTTGCTATGAAATGCATCCATACGTACCTCCCGGGACGTATTTCGCAGTCTCCAGAAACGTCCACGGACTATGTTTTCAGAATGAGCCTGGGTTGGTTATGTTGCTAACAATAATTAAAACATTTCAAATGTCATTTAGAAACTAGATTGATTAGATAAGATTGTCTTAAAACTAGATCGACTAGATATGATTGATGCTCATACAGGTTTGGACCAAATGAATGATGACAGATTTACCATTTTTCTATTATAACAACTAAAAATCATTTTAGTGCCTTTAGTTATTTAAAATTATTTACATTTTTTAAATACATTTCGTTTTAGCTTACAAAAAGTATTTAGACTATTAGCCTATGTAGTAGTAGAGTAGTAACTTAGGCTCTGATAGTTGGCTCTGCAAAAATTTTACAGTGCTATATATTTGCTCCAGGAAAAGCAAATCAGCTATTTTAAATAATCCAAGCCTTAATGGAGATTCCACCCATGGGCCATTTACTTGTGTATGTGTTCATATGCATCATAATGAGATACACTTAAATTTAAAGCCCAGGAGAGGATTAGAGGGCTTTCATTGATCCTCCTTCAGCAGTCTGACGCTTCTGTGCCGCTGGATGGCAGTGAAGCGTCCTGAAGGATTCAGAAATCAGAAGCGCGCCGTCCAGCGGCTCCGGTGAGAAGTGCATCCTTGATAAACAGCTAGCAGCTAAATTTGTTGTGTGTTTTGGTTTCATTTTTGGCTTAAAATGATGTCCAATTTTCTCAAATAGAAATCATCTGTTTCATTTCTCAACATGTTTTAGCATGTTGTATAACACATTTATTATGTTATGGCTTGTATTTGTCTAACAGTGTCTAAAATATTGTATATTTATAGCACTTCTAATGATTAAAGTTTTTATTTAAACTTTTTATGATCCACCACATGTTGTATCCCTCATTTGTAAATTGCTCTGTATAAAGCAGACATGCACAAACTAGGGCCTGCGGGCCAAAGTTGGCCGATGGTATCTTTGATATGGCCCAACATGCCATCTAAGAATAGTTTAGAGATTGTCAATTCAAATTCAATGTAACCTTATATTTGTTTGTTTTATTGTTAAGCTACAACAAAGCTATCTGTGATGAAATGTTCAATGTAAATGGTTTAAATAAACCAAATTTAGTTTAAAATGTACAGATGACGCATAGAGGACAATGCAGAGACTTTGGTGAGCGAATAAAGGCAAAGACAGCTTCTGCTTGACTAGTGTTTTCAGCATTGAACTCCACTGTGTTATTAAAGTGATTATGTTTTTATTGCTAAGTTCTAATTAAAAAGGTACTGCATTAGTTAATACAATTCAAAGTAATGTTTTCTATTTATTTTCTATGAATCCAGACATTACCCATGGCAGTTTTAAGGTAAAATAGTTTGGTTGGCCTACAAATATCAATGATATTTAGTTTTTGGCCTTTCATACGCAAAAGTTTGGGCAGCCGTGGTATGAAGGTATCTGCTAAAGGTTTAAGTGTATTATTTACACACACAACCATAACTTTTTTTTTTAACTATTTCTACTATATCTACTAATAGCGCTTGGTTACACAAATCCAGCAAAACAGGAAATATTATATAAAATAATAGCATAAATGCAGTAATTCAAGTAAATGTCAAATCCTAATGAGCTGCCTACCTAGACAGCAGTGCTGCTAATCGTAGGAGTGTGCTATGCCTATTTTAGGCCTCATGAGGCCCGAAAATGATGCCGACAGGAAAAGTGCATGATGGCCAAAAATGTCAGCTTCCAAGATTTTAAGCCACACTGAAACATCAGCTGGAGTTGATTCAGTTAAATGTACAATTTCATACAGTATGATCACAAAAGTAATTGTAAATTAAGATAGAAAGGTCGGTTCATCCATCCTCATTGCAGACAATCATTTGCAAAGTATAACAATTGGATATTTTAAAATTAAGTTTAAAGCCCTGTTTGCTGCTTTATTTAGTTTTGCAATTTAAATATTGTTTTAATAATCAAGTGTCAGCTGCACCATGTCTGTTTTTTCATTGGTGCTTTACAACAACATTTATTTAAAGTTCTTATGATTGACTTACTTTAAAGTTTCTTACAAATGGTTCAGTGGTTAGCACTGTTGCCTTACAGCAAGAAGGTCGCTGCTTCAAACCCCGGCTGAGTCAGTTGGCATTTCTATGTGGAGTTTGCATGTTCTCCCCGTGTTGGCGTGGGTTTCCTCCAGGTGCTCTGGTTTCCCCCACAGTCCAAACACATGCGCTATAGGGGAATTAAATAAGCTAAAATAGGCCGTAGTGTGCGAGTGGAGGAGTGTGTGGGTGATTCCCAGTTCTGGGTTAGGGCTGGAAGCACATCCGCTGTGTAAAACATATGCTGGATAAGTTGGCGGTTCATTCCGCTGTGGCGACCCTTGATGAATTATGGGACTAAGCTGACAGAAAATTAATAAATGAATAATAAATAATTTATATTTAATAAAACTTTAACTATAAAGTTTAAAGTTAAAGTTTAAATATGTTAAATATAAAGTTGCACTTTAACCAATCCATACTTGAAACAATACTGCCTACAACTAAGTGGACACCTATACATTGTACATATCGCTTTCAATCTTACATTGTTCTGTTTTTCTGGCAGTATGCTGTTGTATTTTGCACTGTCGTTGTATTTTGCACTGTCTGTATTTTGCACAGTCTGTATTTTGCACTGTCATTTTTACTTGCACTGTCTGTATTTTGCACTGTCATTTTTACTTGCACTGTCTGTATTTTGCACTATCGTTGTATTTTGCACTGTCTGTATTTTGCACTGTCATTTTTATTTGCACTGTCTGTATTTTGCACTGTCGTTGTATTTGCACTCTGTATTTCCTCCGGATGCTCCGGTTTCCCCCACAGTCCAAAGACATGCGGTACAGGTGAATTGGTTAGGCTAAATTGTCCGTAGTGTATGAGTGTGTGTGGATGTTTCCCAGAGATGGGTTGCGGCTGGAAGGGCATCCGCTGCGTAAAAACTTGCTGGATAAGTTGGCGGTTCATTCCGCTGTGGCGGTCCCAAATTAATAAAGGGACTAAGCCGACAAGAAAATAAATGAATGATTTTTTTTTAAATTACTATTAAAATCTAATCACAAAAAGGTCTAATTAACTGTACATAGTTTTCTTGTGAGAACTTATTGCATTTAATTTTACATTAAGATGATTAAGGTTCCTTTAATTATTAAAATTAAAAAAATGTACTTTAAATATATATATTTTTGCAGTTTATTTAAAAAATAATAAAATCTATAGAGAAAAGAATGTTTTGAGTTTCAAGGCCACGGCCCCATACCTGGAATTGCTTAGGGCCCCCAAATCACTAAATCCTCCCCTGCACCCTCTTAACACAAGGAAATGTATTACCAGTGACTTGTACAAACATAAGGGTTATAAAACCTTAAACAGTTAATTTGCAGATTTAGCACTGCTCATGGTGTTGGTATAACTGCATTATTACAATGCAATGTGTTTATTCCACATCTATAAGCGGCCAGATATGTAAACATGCTAAATGTTTTGAAGAAATCTGAAAACCTGTAACCACTGACTCGATGGTTATAGGTTTCCAACATTTTTCAACAGAATAAAGTCAGCAGGAACTAATTTAATGAGAGAAGCTGGATAATATTTAGTTTTGGGTGAGCTATGCATTTAATATATAGCTAGCTACACCCACTGAACATGAACTGATATGACTAAACATAACTGCAGTGGCTTATAAAAACCTCAAACAGTTCATTAGCAGATTTAGCACTGCTCATGCTGCTGCTGGTATAACTGAATTATTACAATGCAATGTGGTTTACTGCACGTCTGAAGCGGGCAGATATGTAAACATGCTAAATGTTTTATCACAGTTCACGGTCATTGTCATAGGTGCGTGGGGGTCGCGATTACCACAGAAACACAATGACTCCTGAACGCTAAAGGCCAGTGTCTCCCCCTTCTTTGGGCTCTGACCATTTTGGTTGAATAAGAGGAGCAGTGTGTGTGTGTGTGTGTGTGTGTGTGTGTGTGTGTGTGTGTGTGTGTGTTCCTGGAATAGCTTCTGCTAGTGGCTGCCGTGCAGGCCGAGGGAGGCGGAGGTGAGGTGGACTAGACTACGCGTGAGCTCCTCCAATATGAGAGAGACAGAGGGGAGGGAGAAGGGAGAGAAACAGCCGCCTTCAAAAATGGCGTCTTCGAGGGAAAATGACTAATATTATGAAAAAGGAGGCCTCGAGCTCGACGCTCAAGCGGTGTTTGCGTGTAGTGTACGTTTTGGAAATCGTTCGGTCTTACGCGAGCTTAAACGCGTGAGGGGAAACAAACGAGCTCGACTGAAAATACAGCAGAAACACCATCTTATTTTGATGCGTCGACAGGGCTAGCGCGCGCTGCTAGCTCGCAACAACATTGATTGTTGGTGGATTTTCAACATTGCGTTTGATATTCGTTCGCAAAATCATTGCATGCGTAATGTAGAAGTTGTTTAACGGCCGACGGCCCTTGCTCGGTCGATGCATATTTCATACAAGTAAAGTAAGTGGAGAAAGGGGAGGAGAAACAAGGGAAAGGACGTATACGGTCATACGCGTCCATCCGAAAATTTGACGGTAACCAGGTCAAACCGAATTATTCGCAGGAGCATGGCATTACTTGATGCGATTTTAAATGAGAAAAGGCTGAAAAGGAGGTGAGTTATTTCTTTGGAGGTGGTCGGTGAACACCCCCTCTATCACGCACTCATCTCCTCCCCTCCATTTCCCTCTCCCTTTTCAATATGCTATTTTTCACTCTTATGGACTTAGTCGTCTCTCACCATGATTAAAAACTGACAACAGGACCGCGATCTTGCTGTGCAAAAGAATAGTTTTGCACCGAAACCGTTTGCTCGCGTCCCAGCCGCGCGTATTGCGAAGCGATGGATAGAAATTACCCGGGAGCTGGCTTCGGTGATTTGGGCGCAGGAGCCGGATGGAGCTACGAGAGATCAGCCAAAGCAAGGTAAGCATGCAGCCATGCTGAAAACACACAGAATGATGATGATGATGATGGTGGTGGTGTCCGCTGCTCGGGACAAAACAGACTCGTGTGAAAAACTCGCGCATTTGCATCTGACTCTGACGATGCATTTGCGTAGGATGTCATAAGGTATTAGTGTAGCTATTGTTATTCAAATAAGCGAGGGATTGCAGCTTTGGAAATTCAAGTGTGATTGATGGACTAATGTGCGGTTTGGGGAGGAGAGGGAAGAAAAAGGTGGGGGGCGGGGTGAAGTCTGCTCGCACGATTTTATTACAGATCCCCACGTAGATTCATTTAGCATCCCCAATGAATGAGGGGCTCGGGTCAAGCCTGTTGAGAAAACGCTGAGAAATCGCTTATAAGAAGATGCTGGAGCTTACTTTTAATCGCAATATTTAAATAAATACGCCTATATCGTCGTATCAGAATTAAAAGTAATATTTACATTAGAAGTGCACGTGTAAGTTAGTACAATACTACTACAAAATAGCGTTAAATAAAGCCCAGTTCTTCTATAAATCGTGCAAACAATGCTACGCGGCCTCTGATGATGAGGGGCTCCAGTTAAACCTCCCATTCAGCTGACGTTAGCTAACCCCATCATGCTATTGTCGCATGTGGGCCTGCTACTTGTATCAGCTTGAAATTATATAAAGTGTATGCTTTTTGACTCTAGACTAGAGAAAATAAATCCGTTTCAATCGTTACAGTTGAAGATTTGCCTAAGCTAGCTCTCGCGCATGTTCTGCTGAAGATGGGAGCGACCTGCGCTGCTTTGCTAACGAGTTAGCCTAAAATGCTATGCTTACTGATACAGATTAGGACGTGGAGTTCAGTTAACCGATCATTGCAAACTTCTAAAAATAATATTTTTTTAATTAATAAATTCTCAGTTTATTTTTTGCTTAATTGTATCTGAATTTAGAGTAATTGATTGGTATGATTGTTTTGAATAGAATCAGCATTACACACAAACAGCAGGAAAGATTAATAATAAGAAAGATAAATAATAATACTTACAGTAGTATTAAAAATTAATATCAATAATAAGTCAATATAATTAAATACATCAACTTAATAATAGAGCATTAATTTGTTATTGTAAAATTATTATTTAATTACTTTAAAGCAGGGGTGCCCAAACTTTGTAGTATGAATGGCCAAAACCCTAATATCATTGAGAGGTGTGGACCGAAGATAAATATACCAAACTATTTTACGTTAAAGTTGCCATGGTTAATTTCCTAATTAATTTCCTAATATTTATAAATAAATAGAAACATAACTTTGAATCGTATTTATTAGTGACATTATTTATCATAACTCATTGCAATAAAAACATAAACAATCACGTTTATCACACAAGTAACGTTCAATGCTTTATAAACTAGTCAAGCAGAATCTGCGTTTGCTTCTCACGAAAATCTGTTGGGTGACCGTATGCACATTTTAAATCTTGATCAATGTACATAATTTACAACGAAACATTCAATTTCAGTTGGATTTTTTTTTGTAGCTTAACAATAAAACACACAAAAATTACATTTGACAAGCCAATCTACAATCATCCCCATCGTTCCCCTCTTTTCTCAGATGGGAGGGGGGCAAATCAAAGGTTACCATGGGCCAACTTTGGCCCGCAGGCCCTAGTTTGAGCATCACTGTTTTAAAGTATAAATTTAATAAGCTTTCCAAGTATGTTTACAGAAATCTATGTTAATATCTGAGAAGTTAAAGGGTATACCAGGGTTCAACAATAAGGACTGCCCGATGGCCCGGGGCCAGCGTGAGAGATGTTCGGGACAGTAGAGAGAATCGTTACTGCCTTGTCACAAAATTTAAATTTGCCTGTGACTATTTGTCAATTGCAAACAAATACAGTCTTAGAATCAATAAACAATTTGTGCATTTAAGTCTTTGAATGCTACCTTTTCTGTGAAGTCGTAAACACCATATTGCTTTTTAGTTCCTTTTATTTGATTGGATGTTGTGAGCACGGTATTTTTTCTGTAACCTGGTAAAAAACAGTACAGTAAAGAGACGCCTACATCAAATTATGAGGCACAAAGAAAAAGTCTGGTTCTAACGTTGTGGAAACAGATATTTACATGGATACAACACAACAAAAAAAATGAAGTGATGTTTTATATAGTTTTCAGTCACTTTTAAGTCAGCCACTTTTTGTTTTGAAATAAAATACCTGCACATTTTTCATACTGCTATAATTTACTGCTAAATATTTTAACATTTTAAAAATATTTAAATTCTAGATTCACAGACATAATTTTTGACACATTGTTTAAAATATGTGGCTAAGAATTAGCTATTTTAATTTATTTATTTTGGTGGGGCCAGTGAAAATATTGGCTGGGCAAGTCAAAATCTGAACCGCTGGTCCATTCGGGCCAGTAGAAAATGTCCCTAGAGTTGAACCCTGTATCCGCTTGTTTAGTGGTAACGTGTTGGCGACATATGTAATACTTTTTCTGGGTCCAAGCCGCCACTCATTTGAGTTGAGAAATCATTTGTTTTATGATCAGTTTTTATTCCTATCACCTATTAAAGTTAATTTTATATAAAGTCATAGTGTACACAACAATCTCTGGGCTTGATGCATCACAAATACCAAAATGTTAACAATTTATTAAAAAACAAATTATTTTCTGGCCATCGGATATTAGGCATGGATATATATATATATATATATATATATATATATATATATATATATATATATATATATATATATATATATATTGCAAACGTGATTTTAGAAAGTATTAAATCACTTTATTATTACCATTTCACGAGTTTCCACATTCAGTTGAATCTTAAATGTAATGGCATAATGTATTTAGGTAAATTGCTTTTGACACAGATAGTCAGTTTTTTAATGTTACCTTTATCATTCATGCATTAACCCCTATTCATTATTCAATATTTTCTTTCAGGGTTTAACGCTATGGATTTTTTCTACTGGCCCAATCGGATCAGATTTTTACTTGCCCTGCCAATATTTTCACTGGCCCCTCCAAAAAAAAAAAAAAAGTTAATAGTTATTCTTTAACCACAAAAAAAAAACAAAAAACATGTAAAAATATTTTTAAATCTAGAATTTAAATATTTAAAAATGTTAATAAATGTTTAATAAGAAAAATTCAAAGTGTTTTGAAACAAAAGATGGCTGACCTGCCAAACTGACGGCAAACTGTACAAAACATCACTTAATTTTTTAGTCGTGGTGCACCCTCGTAAATGTCTGCTTCCAAGACGTTAGAAACAAATGTTTTCCCTTTAGCATAATCATTTGATGTTACCGCCATGTTGCAGTCTCTTCGCTGTACTGGTTGATACGGAAAAAAATGTGCACAACATCCAATCAGAGAAGAAGAACCGAGAAGGTAGCATTTGAAGGCTTGAAAACACTGTTTCTCAATTCTAAGACCGAATTTGCACGCAATTGACAAACAGTCACAGGCAAATTAAACTTTAGTGACAAGGCAGCACTGGCCCAATCGGGCCAGTAACGATCCTGTCTACTGTCCCGAGCATCTCACACGCTGGCCCCGGGCCACCTGGCAGTCCTTATTGTTGAGCCCTGTCTTTTAAACAGTTTTAATGATTGCGTAGTAGTTGCTAATTAGGGGCTATAGTATTCATAATTAAATGTTATAAAAACTTGTAATAGTTTCGTTCCTGATTTGGCCATGTATCTAAACAAATCTAAACATTAAATAAGTAGAACTAGTGTCTTTTGGGAATTGATTTCATGATTGTGATTTGCTATTGGTGGATGTCATGTGAGTGACAGGTTGTACCACCCCCTTCACAGGTAAAGTTGGTTTTATATTTGCACGTTCATTAATTTAGCAGTCTCTATATTGTCTACCACACTAATTTGAATATTCGGTCAGAATTAGCATGCAAGTATGACTTCAAAACAACATTAACAACATCTAACTGACGGTAAACAATGCTGTACTTTGATAAACATTGGCTGCTAATATGATTTCCCCATTTAGAATTTGCAAAGAATACTTATCTGAAATTATATTAGGGGAATGTCTGAATATAAAACCCAACTTTACCTTTATTCACAACACATTCTTACAGAAATAAATATCACTGCAAGAACAAATGATAAAAACAATCATTATAACTTTATGACAATGGCCTGCTTTAATTATTGGAGACTACATGCCCAGTATAAAGCATTAATGTCTCCTAAATATTGCTCAATACAAAACCTTTTCACATACTGTACAGGGAGACTACCTCAGGCAAACTGTTGCTGTTTAATGATTGTGCTTTTACACTTGCTTTAAGCATCATTGATTATTAATGCTAAAGTCAGTGGTGATATCTGTTCTTGTCAGCTTGGTGTACGGCAGCTCTAGATCATCACATCCGGAGTCTGAACTTCTTCATCGCCAAGCCTATGCCACTCCCCATCCCCTGCAGGGTTATGCTACCAATCACCATCCTGGAGGATCTGGCCAGGGTGGGGCTTGGGGTGCAGCTGGAAGGAGCCTGGGTGAGTGACACTACTTTACATTCAAACATCTGGTTTGGGTTAATCGTATCATGTTGATGTATAGCACCAAAGCACTTGTGGAATTTCTCATTTTTATTTATGATATATACTAGCCATGGGCCGGTGTAAGATTCTGGTGGTATGATAACCTTGGATAACAATGTCATGGTTTTATGGTTTCACAGTATTGTGATTACTGCTCTAAAATATATTCTTTTTAAATGTCTGGGTATAAAAACAACAACCTTTTCCCCCCTTTGAACACAAAATAATTAATTGTTAGAAACATTTATAACATTTTAGAGCAGTAAACATGTCAGGCTAAATAGTTCAAATAGATCATTGACTTGCTGCCTTCATTTGTTTCAAAAATACAGATTTCTTTACAATTTGAAATGGCATCTTTGGATATATTTTCTGCTGGAGATTCTGTTCTCCTACACAAACGTAAAAATAAATAAAATAAAATAAAAATAAATAAAATAAAATAAAAAATCCTACATATGCCTTAGGAACAATATAGCAGAAAATTTAGTCAGTTTTAAAACCTTGACTTTTCCAAACCGCGGTATACCTTGAGAACGCTTATTGCCCCATATATACTGATTCCTTACTGAAATAGTGGTTGATGTATACTTATGTACAGTTGAAGTCAGAATTATTAGCCCCCTTCAAATTTTTTTCCTCTTTTTAAAATATTTTCCAAATGATGTTTAACAGAGCAAGGAAATTTTTACAGTGTGTCTGATAATATTTTTTCTTCTGGAGAAAGTCTTATTTGTCTTATTTCGGCTAGAATAAAAGCGGTTTTAATTTTTTTAAACACCATTTTAGGGACATAATTATTAGCCCTTTTAAGCTATATTTTTTCTTGATAGTCTACAGAACAAACCATCATTATACAATAACTTGCCTAATTACCCTAACCTGCCTAGTTAACCTAATTAACCCAGTTAAGCCTTTAAATGTCACTTTAATCTGTATAGAAGTGTCTTGAAAAATATCTAGTCAAATATTATTTACTGTCATCATGACAAAGATAAAATAAATCAGTTATAAGAAATGAGTTATTAAAACTATTATGATTAGAAATGTGCTGAAAAAATCTTACCTCATTTAAACGGAAATTGGGGAAAAAATAAACAAGCGGTCTAATAATTCAGGGGGGCTAATAATTCTGACTTCAACTGTATATTAGCAATTCTAGCGTTATGGATGTGACTTTTGCAGTAAAAAGTCAAAACATAAATTCACACAGAAAGCATACGTTAACATTATATCAAAACATTTGTTTATATTTTCCCAAACAACTCACCACAGAGTTATGGGGTCAGAAAAATATCAATCTGTAAAAAAATTTATATTTTAAATGAGGAAAATAAACATGCGTTATGGATGTGACATAAAAGTTAGCGAATTTACAGTCTACAACGCTCTTTGTAGAAATTCTTTCAGTTAAACCGCAGAACCCAAAAGACACAATGCTCATCAAACAGTTATGAGTCGGCTCACTATGGAATTAAAATGATAGATTTTATTTTATTTGACATTTTTGCATTTATAAGGAAAAAGTGTCTTTATGGATGTGACACTTTTTCCGTTATGGATGTGACAGCTGTGAAATTGCCACTTGTGTGATTTTGCCAAATTAAATGTAATAGTTTGAAATACTGACAGATAGATTTATGACTATTTTAAAGTACTGTAAATACTTGCTAACACAACAAAAATGTAGAAACAGTTTCTCTATCTTAAAAAACTAAATTCTTTTTTTAATAGCATGGTTGACATTTGCATGGAATCATTATGTAAATATATATATATATATATATATATATATATGTATGTATATATATATGAAAATTATTAGCTCCTCTGTTTATTTTTTCTCTTAATTTTTGTGCAATAAAGAGAAGTTTTTTTTCCAACTCATTTCTAAACAGTTTTAATAGCTCATTTCTAATAACAGATTTATTTTATCTTTGCCATGATGACTGTAAATAATATTTGACTTGATATTTTTCAAGACACTTTTCAAGACACTATACAGCTTAAAGTGAAATTTAAAGGCTTAACTAGGTTAATTAGGTTAACTAGGCAGGTTATGGTAATTAGGCAAGTTACTGTATAATGATGTTTTGTTTTGTAGACCAGGGGTTCCCAAACATTTCAGCCCACAACCCACAAAATAACAATGCCAGTGACTCACGACCCCCAATATCCTCTGAGGTGGTTATACATACAGAAGCCTTGCATGCAATGGCGCACACACACCAATAGACCCAAGTCTATTCTTCATTAATTTTTTTACTTGGTGTTATAAAATCAATCTGCTGCATCTGACACTATTGCTGTGTCTTTAATTTAATGTAATTACCCCAGGGGTCGCAATCCAATAGAACTAGTAACTATAAGCTACTATAGTAACTATATAAAGCAGTATATAGTAACTATAAACAACTATTTTTTCTCTTCAGTAGTTTATGGATATAATATGGTAATACTTATGGTTTAATAAAAATAAATAGATTTTTGGAAATCACCAGGCGACCACACACCCCCCCCCTCTTCATTGTCCCTTGACCCCTGTGGGGGTCCCGACCCCCACTTTGAGAACCACTTCTGTAGACTATCGGAAAAAAAACTTGCTTAAAGGAGCTAATAATTTTGACCCTAAAATGGTTTTTATAAAATTAAAAACTGCTTTTATTCTAGTCGAAATAAAACAAATAAGACTTTCCCCAGAGGAAAAAATATTATCAGACATACTGTGAAAATTTCCTTGCTCTCCTAAACATAATTTGGGAAATATATATTTTTTTAAATTCAAAGGGGGGCTAATAATTCTGACTTCAACTGTATATATATTAACCTGAGGGACATTTTGCGTGTGTTTGTTTTGTAGTTAATTTTCCAAGATTGTGATGTGTACACTCTTGCTTAAATGGGTGCACTGCATTCCTGAGGTTTTAAAGCTCAGTGTTCCTAATAGTAGCCTTTATTATAGAGCTTATCACATGATCTCTTCCTTGACTACCGTGATTGATTTGCAGCTCAGGATGTAAAAAGACAAGACTAGGCTTGTAACACACAATATCAGTTTAGTAGTCAATACCAAACAAATATTCCAGGGAATAATTTAGATAATGAATATTCATTTATTCAAGATGTTAGTGAAATCATGGAATAAACAGTATTTAAAGATAAAACATTACAAAGAACAGATAAGTATTGTATATGAGTATGAGTAATTCCGTAAAGTAGTCAAAATTTGGAATTATCACATGTAATATAAAATCGTTTAATATTTGGCAGACTGTGTCGTTGTTATTATTAAAATTAATATATAAATAAATAGGGAATTAATTCTGTTTGACTGATAAGCGGGCCTGTTTATCTTTTCGTAAACCTAATTAACTGTTAACATCAAAGGGTGGCCAACCCTGTTCCTGAAGAGCCACCTTCCTGCAGATTTCAGTTGCTACCCAAATCAAACACACCTGAACCAATTAGTTAGGACCTGAACACCAGGTGAAAATTACAGGCAGGTGTGTTTGATTTGGGTAGCAACTGAAATCTGCAGGAAAGTGGCTCTCCAGGAACAGGGTTGGCCGCCCCTGGTTTACATCAATACCTGCCAAGGCAGGTATTTTGACCAAAATATGCATTTGACTCAATACACACAGGTAACAAATTTAGTTTGTACTCTTACTCGTACTTTGCATCGTGCTGATATTGTAGAGAGACTTGTATTGCATTTTCATTTTTTCATTGTAATATGGACTTGTTACTTGGTCAAAGTTTCTTTTGTGTGTAATTAATGCAGAATTTACTGAAATGAGCTTATCATTTATGTGTGTGTTTCAGGTCTGTCTGGACTTTTTGATGCTGGGCTGCACCACGCAAGTCCTTCAGGCCCAGATCCATCGGTTATGAACCTTATATCTGCCCTAGAATCCCGGGGTCCACAGCCACCTCCTTCTGCCTCGTCGCTCCTATCTCAGTTTCGCACTCCATCATGGCAGACTGGTAAGTTGTATGAGCTTTGATTAAGCTTGTTGTAAATGCTGGTAAACTGTAACTGCAGACAACTAGCACCCTCAGCACTGTTGCCATAGCAACAACTTGCAAGCCACTTAGTAAAAGATGCTAATTGGCTCTTTGATTACTCATTTGGCACAGCTGTTAAAAGCCAGCCTTCGTACTTATTAGGGATTTTTGTATTTATTGTATTTTCCGACCTAAACTATTGTCTTTGTGTCTTTCTCCACATTTTAGCCATGCACACACCTGCCCCCGCAGAGCTGTTCATCTCTGGTGCCCTTCCTGGATCTGGATCCTTTCCATCCTCTTCTGCTTTGTCTGCCTATCAGCACCCAGCATCATTCTCAGGGAGGTCTTTTCCTGGTGTGACCTCCTCACTGTCCTTACAGGACACACCCACTTTCAGCCCTACCTCCAATGGCCTCCTGTCACCCCATGATCCCCTGCTCCACATCAAGACGCCTTCTCAGTCAAGCCTGGGATTTGATCGCCTGTTGTCATCACAGGGTGCAGCTGCAGCTTACCGTGGAAGTCATGATCCAACTGGGGCTGGAGTCACATCTGCTCAAGCTTCGTCTGCAGCATCAGTTTCTGCCCGCCATATACCATCTCATCAGTTTAATTTGTTGTCCTCCCAGCTTCAAGATCAGTCCTCCCAGCTGTACAGTGCCTCTGTATTTTCCTCCACCCCTGCACCACCTCAGCCAACATCCCAAGAGCGGACAGTACCAAGACAGGACAGTGTAATAAAACACTACCAGCGTCCCTCTCCAGCACAAGCCCCCTCATCCACACCTCACCCTCTCCAGCACTACCTTAGCTGTGGGGTGTCCGGATATCAACAAGCCACTCACACTCGCCATGCTGGTCTCTCTTGCAGTCCTCTAGGTGAACACAGTCCCTCCTCAGACCATAAACCCTCACCTAGGACTGAGCAGTACAGACCGATAACACAGCCATCCTATGGGTCCTCCTCATCCTCATCCACTGGAGGGGCAGGAAAGGGGACAAAGAGCAGTTCCAGTAGTGGTTACTCATCCTCTGGATCTGCATCCTCTTCCAGAACCCCTCACACACCACCCTCTGCCTCTTCTGCTTCATCCTCATCATCATCGTCTTCATCTTCCTCTGCATCTGCAAGTGCTCGTCAGTCTAATTCCATTCCAACCTCCACTTCTGCCTCTGCATCTTCTCGCCAACAGCCACCAACACAGTCTGTACCCCCACCACCACAGTCACATTCCCAGCCCCCACAAAGCTCCACTAATTCCTCCCAGCAAACCCTTCCCAAGTCGTGCCTCTCTGGTTATGGATCCCCAGTGGCTCCAGTTAAGTCATCAGGTGGTCTAACAGGCCAGACGCCTCCTCAACCACAACCGCAATCTTTCTCTCCAAGTCAACCTCCATCACACCTTTCCCAGTCATATGGGGGATTCAGTTCTCCACAGGCTCATGATCTGCCTTCAGCTAGGACCTCTGGAGTTGCTAAAGGGTATGGGAATATGGGAAGTCAGTCATTTTCAACAGAATCAGTATATGGATCAGATTCAGGTTATGGGTCTCTGCCACCATCCTTAGGAGGGGCTGGAAGTCCATCAATGGGTTATGGTGCATCAGGACACTCTCCTGCCCTTCTCAGGTCAGGTGCAAGTGGTGGAACAACTGGTGGTAGTAGTAGTGGGGGCAGTACAGGAACTGGAGGCAACAGCAGTGTGGGAGGTGGAGGAGGTGGTGGATCTTACCACATGCCTGATTCCAGTCCTTCTCCATCTGGCAATTCAGGAATCATTCGCCCTGGTCTACATTCTCCAGCACCTTCACGACCTGCTCAGTCACCTGTTGGAACAGGATCCAACAAATATCTGTCCTCTGTTCTCTCACCTTCATTTCTGCCTTCTCCACAAGGCTACCCAGACACAAGAGGACCTAGATCACAACCTTACCACTCTTCTGCTCCTCCCAAAACAAAGACTGATAACAGCATACTTGGTGTAACAGAGTCTAGGCCTCAAGGGGATGATGATGTTGATGATGATTTCCTCATTCAACACCTTCTTCAAGCCCAGAGTCCTGCTCCTCAAGTATCCCATCACCATCCTGCTCAAACCCATCATCCTTCCCAGCCCACCCAGCAGACTCCAGGCCTTCCAGCTCAGGATGGAAATAAGGGGCTTGCTTATGAGATGAGCAAAAGCTCAGAAGAGAGGTACCACCTTCAGAGTGTTATTCGAACCCATAGTGCAACCTCTAATGCTGCCGTCTCTGGCACAGGGAGTGGAGCTGGACTGGACAGTCAATTGGAGATGTCCCTAAAAAAACAGCAGCAGCAACACCAACAACAACAGCAACAACATCAGCAGCAGCAACAGCAGCATAAACAGCAACATCAACAACAATCACAGCAGAAGAGCAACAGAACTGTAAGCGATGGAGGACGAGGAAGTTCAGAGCAAACACATTCTCATCCTCATCATCATCACGATTCTCTGGGATCAGTAGTGCATTATGGGCGTGGTGACCCATATTCCCAACACTCCATTCCTCAACACTCCACCTCCCACCATCAACACACTCCACACACACCCACGCACTCACATCTACACTCTCACCCACACATGGATATTCAGAAAAAGACTCAAGATTCAGGAGATATGGCTTACATGCGTAAGACACCTGATGTGCAGCAACATCACCATCAGCATCAACAAACGCATCAACAGCAAACTCAGCATCATCAGACTCATCCCCAACAACATCAACAACAACCGCAGCAACAACAGCACCACTCTCAGTCACAGTCACTTATGGACTCTCCCACTGACCAGTCTCGCCAATCTTCTCATTTGCTGCAGTCTGTGCTTTCCCATACCCGCAGCAAAATAGACCCTCAGCAACAGCAGCATTCTGTAAGCCAGCAGTCTCTTATGGAAGCTACTGGGGGAGTTGTGTCTGCAGAGACCCATTCCCAGCCCCAGACATCACAACTCCAACTTCAGCTTCAGTCTCAAGCCTTGGAAGCAGCTGGTCACTATGGTCATAGTTCCCAGCAGCAAGACCAGAGCCGCCCTAAGTCTAACACCGTGTCTTCACTTGACATGCTGGAGCATTCCCTCTCTCGGACATCAAGCCAAGAGGGTGCAATGGTTGATGAGAGGACAGGAGGTGAAGGAAACCGGGGGAATTCTGGAGCAGCAGCAGCAGGAAGTGTAGAAAGGCGCCAGTCACAGGAACAACAAAGACTTTCGTCTCACCACCAATCACAGCACCATGCCTCTGAGTTACACCCGTATCTTCCTGAGCCAGACATGAGTTTATCAACAACTTCTCATGGACACCACCTATCGCACCATCACCACCAACAGCAGCAAACTTCACAAGGTCCTCAACATCCTAACTCCCACCATCAACATCCTCTCCCCTCACACCCTAATCAGCAGAGTCATCATCATCTTCCTCCACAAGCCTCCTCTGCAGCTTCTCAGCAACAAGAGCAATCTCATCCCTCTCATGACTCCCAGATTCCTCAAGCTCCACTTGACCAGCATCAAGGAGAGCCCCACTTTGACACCAGAAATCCAGCAGTAAAATCAAACCAAAATCAAAGCCAACAGAGCCAGAGGTTTGTTCCTTTAACATCCATTTGCTTTCCTGATTCTCTTCTCCCAGATGAGGACCGTTCATTCTTTCCTGGAATGGAGGATATGTTCTGCCCAGAGGACTACAAATCCACTTGCTCAGGAGGTCCAGGGCAGGGTCAAGATGGAGTTGCATCTGGTCAAACAGTGCAGGAGGGAATGGAAGGAATTAAAACAACACCTGGAGGGGGAGACAATACAGGTCCAAGTTATGATATGCTGGGCCATCACAGTGACCAGGGCTATGGGCAGTATTGCCATGATCTTTCAGAACCTGACAATGGAACCATGCATTTGGATCTTGACTCCTTGAAGACTCATGAGCTCCCATCAACAGTCAACACAGAGCAGCTTGGATTGATCCAATCTCAACCAGCCAGTCTTGGAATGGGTACAACTGGAACTGTTGGGGAAGGATCTGGTGCCAAAATAGGAGGTACTGGGGGATCTGGGTCTGGATCCGGGGGTCTTACCTCTCCAATCTTTTGTTCCTCTCGCCCAAAGAAGCTCCTGAAGTCCAGTTCCTTCCATCTGCTGAAGGAAAGACCTGATCCTAACTCCTTGCCCAAGAAAAGCTATGCACAGGAGTATGAATTTGAGGATGATGAGGATAAGGCTGATGTCCCGGCTGATATTCGCCTCAACAGCCGAAGCCGACTTCCTGATCTGATACCAGACCTTGTGTCGAGTTGTCGCAAATCAAGTGGAGTGGGAGGGGGAACTTTAAGCCCTTTAATGGGTGATCTAGATTTTGGATACCCATCCCTTGGTCCCCCTCCTCAGCTATTGCCACAGGATGGACCGAAGAAACGAGGCAGGAAGCCCACAAAGCCTAAACGAGAAGGACCTCCAAGGCCACGTGGGCGACCACGTATACGCCCATTGCCAGAACCCAGGGCTATGATGGGAGAGTATGGAACAGGATTTGTTCCTGAAAGAGGTAGAGGCAGAGGAAGAGGCAGAGGCCGAGGTAGACGGGATGAATCTATGATGGACATGGAGATAGCCAATAAAGATCCAAATCAGATGTATCAGCAGCACATGCAGCAGCAAATGCATCACCAATCACAGCAGCAGCCACAGCACCAGGAGCCAATCAAACCCATCAAGGTAAATTCTTAATATACTTTTATTCATGTATTTAGTTTTTGTAATTTCTGACTAAAAACAAAAATTCTTCCATTTGAATCACTTTACAGGAATTTTTTCTAAAATGTCCTGTCTCTCCCTGTTAGATTAAACTTCCTGTTGGAACCTTGTCATCATCTGATGCCTTGTTACGGACAGACTCCTTGTCAGGCACTGACCCGGCTCTCTCAGATGGTTCCCTAGGTTCTGCACCATCTTTGGGATTGAGCCCTGGGACACCTGGAATGCCTGACATGAACAGACCTCAAGATAAGAAGTCAAAATCCCAAGAGGTATGATAATGCATTGTAGAATTTATATGGGGGGGGGGTTTGGGCGTATTTGTACATTTCTATCTGATTATAAATTCTGTCTCTTTATATTTAGATGGAAGAGAAAGAGTCAGAGAAGACTGGCTTTGTTGCCTCATTTCTGGATTTTCTTAAGTCTGGAAAAAGGCCATCAGGAATGTCAACGGGCTCAGTGGACAGTGCTGGAAATGAAGATGCATCTCCTGGGAAAAGTGGAGGCATTCGCCCGTTATCCCCTCAACCACCACCCCCACCTGCTGCGGCAGCTGTATCTGGATATGGAGATGGTGAAAGTGATGGAGGACTGTCTTTGGGTGGCTGTCCTAGCCCATGCAAGCGATTGGATGAAGAGCTCAAAAGAAATCTTGAGACTTTGCCCTCATTCTCATCCGACGAAGAGGACTCTGTTGGGAAAAACCAGGACCTGCAAAAGAGCATCTCCTCAGCAATCTCTGCCCTTTATGATACTCCTCAAATTACCTCCACAATGCAGCCTCCATCACTTCCACCACCACCTCCTCCACCTGCTCCCGAACCATTGACACCAACACAGCAGCCACCACCCCTCAGCCCTGAACCACCAATGCATCAACACCAACCCTCACATTCCCATAGCCACTCTATTGAGCCTGTAAGAATACAACGGGAAGAGGAGGAAGAAGAAATGGATGACAAAGAAAAGGATGACATAGACGAGGTAGAGAAAGAAGACAAGGAGGATAAAGTCCCAGATATGGAGCTTCTGTCTGTCTCCAAAGTTGGAGGTGAGAGTTATTTGTTTTGTAACTAGGATGACTTCAGTAACATCATCACTCACTTATGCTTTGTCATAGGAATGTAACGATTTACTCAGTTCTTACTCAGTTTTGTCAGAAATGTAAGTAGCTTTAATTAAACTTGAACTGTGCTTGCTTTTAAGCTTGGGTTTTTTAAAGAATATTCAGCATATTCACATTTTTTGAAAGAAAGCATTCTTTATTTATAGTTGCATACATAAGTTCTAAACAAATTTAGGAGGGGAGAGATAAAAACAGAATGTAAAAAAAACGAATTTTCCAATTGTTCGGATTTGCTTGTTGTCAACTTGTGAGTGAGATAAATTATATTATACCGATTACATTAAACAAAGTACATTCCTGTTTGATGAAATGGCAAGACATTTGGCTTCCATGGACAGACACTCTTCTGATTTGAATGAGGATGGAGCTTCCTCAATATCAACACCCACACTCGCAATCACTTGCAACTATTAGTTTGATCAGCGATATTGCACATGTTTGCAGGAAACACAATGGGCCCTGTAGTTCAAAATCATATCGTGATTCAACATCCCAACTTATTTGAATTGTCACATATTTTAATATATTTTTAACTACTTTGTCAAAATTGAGCATAGGCATTGGTCTGTTTAAGATTTTGACACTATGAAAACCCTATATACAGTTATCACGGTTTTGTGATTACTGCTCTAAAATGTGTTTTTTTTTAATCTCTTGGTAAAAACAGCTACTTTTCCCCCACTGAACACAATATATTTTATTCCAAGAAACATTTAAAGTTAGTTTAAAATACTCAGATTTCTCTGCAACTTGAAAAGGCATCTTAGGATACCTTTCTTTTCTTTGGGTATAAAGTAAAGCCACTGTTCAGGACTATAGCATGCGTGGATGTTGGTTTATAAGTGATTTGTTTTTCAAATGTTTCCTGAATCGATGGCTGACGGTAGCTTATGATGTGAAAGGTTCTTTTCTCCTGTGGCCATAAGAAATTAAATAAAATAGTCTTAAAGACGCATAAAAAAGCAAAATATACTTTAGGCCCGGTATAACAGAAGATTTTAGTTTTAAAACCTTGACTTTTCTAAACCATGGTAAACCTTAAAGCTGGTTATCATCCCATGCCTAATCGGACATCTACACTGTTAGTGCTTTGTAGAAAATGTTATGTAATTTACATTTCATATTGTGCATTTTACTGAGATTAAAATTGAACAATACTCTCTTCTCTTGCAGACTCACCTAAAGAAGCCGTGGAATCCCAAGCTCTGACTTCACTCCCTGCAGTTTCTTCTCCTGCTCCCTCCTCTGCCTCTTCGGCATCACCGCTTCCTCCACTCCCCCTTCCATCTCCTGTCCCGCCACAGGAGGACAATCCTTCTCCTTCTCAGAAATCACCACCACAACAGTCTTCACCTCCACGTAGTCCTGTGGCTCCATCTGTGCCTGTCCCATCTCCTCTACCTCCTCCTCATGCAGAACCTCACCTTTCCTCCAACCCACCTTCACCTAGTCCACCTCCGGTCCAGGAGTCAGTTCCAGAGCCTGAATCCCCAGAAGAGCGTCCTGCACCTCAAATTCTACCATTGCACTTGGCACAGAAACAAAGCAGTGCTGCTATTGTTGGAGAGACTGATGAGGATGAGAGTGAGAGTGGAGGCGAAGGCATTTTCAGAGAGAGGGACGAGTTTGTGGTACGGATTGAGGACATCAGGAGTTTGAAGGTACATCAAAGTCCTTTTTAGATATTCAGCTTATTTTTAAATCTTTGTTAGCAAGTGTAAAAGTCATATGTGGTGATGCAATATATGGTGTAGTCCTTGCAAGGATTTATTATGTTTAAAACAATCTAACAGACATCTCATCGATGTCTGAACAAACAACTTGGTTAAAATAAGGCTACGTTTGGGAAGGGAGTAAATGCATTTACATGGACACCAATACTCTGATTTTAATACAATTAAGACAATACTCTGATTAAGAGTTTATCATGTAAACAGCGATTTTTGATTACCTCAATCCGACTAAAGCCCAATACTCGTCATTAAATAGAATGAATGACTCCATAGTCAGTCTGTTCTGTGTATTTGATGACTAGTCGAGTTTCGGGCTGTTCTTAGAGATCTACTAGATTTTTACTCTCAGCCCAAATTTGGGCTTATTTTAGCCTAGATCAGGGGTCACCAATCTCGTTCCTGGAGGCCCGGTGCCCTGCAGGGTTTAGCTCCAACTTGCCTCAACACACCTGCCTGGGTGTTTCAAGTGTACCTAGTAAGACTTGATCACCTTGTTCAGGTGTGTTTGATTATGGTTGAAGCTAAAATCTGCTGGACACCGGACCACCAAGAACAAGTTTGGTGATCCCTGGCCTAGATGTTTAGATGTCTATTAGACATCTGTTAAACACAAAATTGCTTGGTGGGGTACCAGGGGTTAAGTTAATGTCATTTCTCCCTAGATGGCCCTTCGGACTGGACGAGAGCCCCCTCCCATTTGGCGTGTACAGAAAGCTCTGCTGCAGAAGTTTTCCCCTGAGATTAAGGATGGGCAAAGACAGTTTTGTGCAACTAGCAATGTGAGTCTATTTTTACTGTTATGTGTTCAGCTCATTTATTAATGCAGTTTGCAATGGGAAACATCTGTGTTTTTATTGCTTAGTGTTTGGTTTTAAAATAGCTGTATTAAGGTTACTGTTAGTTTGTGTTATTATCATGCAAATATTCTGAGCACTCTATAAATTGTGGCAGTGAGAATCATTCACAAATGTAAAAGTGAACCATGCATGTTGAACGGTATGATATTTATCAGTGCAAAAAAAGGATCTTTAAACCTCAAAATTAAAATAATTGACTTGAATGCATGCTGTTCTGAACCCATAAGAAATGTGTTAATCCTTATGACAAGCACATGAATTTAATGAAAGTCTCTTTACCCAGAACTTTGACGCATGAACATGTTTATGATGTTTTTATAATAACATATTAATATAAATTAGGCTGTTTAATTCAAGCCCTCTAAAGGACACAATTGCTTTATCCAATAAACTGATTAAATACTTTTATCTAGTTTTGTTTTTGTGAACTGACTTGAAATGGATGCACCGGAAATATCTCAAATTATAATTAAAAATATCCTACAATTGTGGTTTGAAGGCAGATTTTAAAGGTTTGGAGTGACATGAAGTAGAGTGAATGGTTGATGATTGGATGAATAATTCTGTGATTTAACCTATGTCACTTTGTTTCCTCTTTGTTCTCTTCTTCCACAATTCTCTCCCTACTCCTAGTATCTGGGTTACTTTGGAGATGCTAAAAAGCGCTACCAGCGGCTCTATGTGAAGTTTCTGGAAAACATAAACAAAAAAGACTACGTAAGGGTGTGTTCCCGAAAGCCCTGGCACAGACCAAGTCTCAACCTGAGGTACTGAGACCCACCTTTCCGTTTTGCCACATCAATGACTATAGAGACAGCTTTCTTACAATGCACACTTACTCTGAGGGCCGTTCATATCGAAGTTGATATTTAGCCGCACCATGTTGGTGTTTTGTAACATCTCATTTTTACGAGGTGGGTTTGTTAGCCCTACACTCAACCCCTAACCTGGGGGACCAGGACATACACACATACACTACAGACAATTTAGCTAACCCAATTCACCTATAGCGCATGTCTTTAGACTTGAAACCTGAGCACCCAGAGGAAACTCACGCCAACACGGGGAGAACATGCAAAATCCACACAGAAATGCCAAATGACCAAGCCGGGACTCAAACCTTCTTGCTGTGAGGCAACAGCGCTACCCACTGACCAAACCTGCCTCCCCTTACAATGTATATCAAGTCAAATAATAAGATATGACCATAGAGCTGTGACACAAATAGAGATGGGGGATGTCGACCAATTTGTCATCGTACAATGTCTAATGTGAAACATCACGATAGTCGATGGTATCGCCGTCGTAGGCAGCGGTGAATTCATTATTTATGAATAGTTAATTCATAACAAATTAATAATTTGTAGCCTACCGTTTCAACTACCTGTTCCACATGGTCTTTGTTTTACCCATAACCAAATCATAAATAAATAAAGATAAGCTACACACAAATTATCACCTGTCAATCACTTTTACCGCGAGACTCTGGCATGAATAGGCAGAGTGATCTGTGTCGTTATTATGGCATCAACAAACTTGGTTTGTAAAAAAGGTGCACAACTAACAGCAACCAACCAACAGTGTCTGAGGTTTTCACTAAAATTACTACACGCGTGAAAGTGAAAGACTGAAGCAGTGTACTGACTCTGTGATACGTTACCTGATAGATTCAAAAGACCGAAGAGTCATTAGAGACTGGATTAATTAAATATCATGTTTCCAACTATAGTGAGACGCCATCCAGCGGTACATCCATGATAATTTGTCCGATGTGCACTGCTCTGGGGTTTTGTGCTTTAAGCACGTGCAGACTGCTGGAGCTCAGACGCTGCAGCGCATGAAAGAGTGTGTGGTCACAAGATGTGCGTTTTCAGCGGTATAGTGGTAAAAAGGCTTTTCAGAAATGCTCAATGAAACGCCATTGTGGATGCGGATCGTTTTCATTCTAAAATGCCTTTTTTTTTTTTTAAATAAGACGTGTAACGGGGTCGTGTGTATTTTTCGTGACGGGCAGGGTGGAGGATCGCGATGCCAGGTCGGCATCGTGATGTCTATCGGCCATCAGTGATGAATGATGGAATCTTCTATCGACCCAACCCTAGATACAAACTGAACCTGTGTATTTATGAATCGTTCCACCCCTAGTAGACATGATATGATACTTATGTTAGATTTGCATGTGTACACATCATATTTGCCAGCGTAAAAGTCAAGTCATACTTTATTTTACTCATGTTTATATTCAGGAAAATGTCCTTTTGTGATATTACTTGGCTAAATCATGGCTGTGTACGAAATTGCCTACTACTCAGTAGGTACTACATTTGAATGTAAATGTACTACTTGTACTACTACATCTGCCATTTTGTTATCGTCACATCACCCACCTGCGTCAGTTGTGCCGCTTCACTTTCATTCATGAATTCTCTTACGAAGCATTGTGGGAGAGCGTAGTGTCTATTGGATGCACACTTCAGAATCTCGCCGGAAGTAATAGTAATACTGTTTTTCTAATTCTATGACATACTGTTTTTAACCTACTGTATAGTATGGAAGTCTGCTATTTTGGACACAGCCCGTATCTTACAAACAACAAAAACCCATAAACTGATTTCTCTTCTTTTGTTTGCTTTATTTTATAGATCTTGAATGATAGCTTAGTCTTTTTTTCTTTTGATTTTCAGAAGACAGTCTCAACCGGTCCCGAAATTAACTCCACCTCCCAACAACCAGATTCCCTTAGAGAAGGCTGAGAAAGACAGAGAGAAGATTAGAGAGCCGCGTGAAACCAGAGAGAGGAACAACATTCGGCTGAGAGAGCAGCGGGACAAAGAGAAGGTGCTCAGGACCAGGGAGAAGGAGGACAAGAAGGAGAAGGAGGACAAAAAGGAAAAGGAGGACAAGAAGGAGGAAAAGAAGGAGAAGAAAGCTCTGGCTCCTCCTCCTCCTCCGCCGCCGCCACCTCAGAAACCTGAGAAACGGCCAGTGGTGAGCGAACGAGGGAGGCTGAAGGAGGAGAAGAAGAGCAGCGCACAGGAGAAGAAGAGCGAGCGCTCGGCCAAACCTCAGCCAGCAAAGGTAAAGGCAGAACCTCCGCCCAAGAAGCGCAGGAAGTGGCTGAAGGAAGTGCCCTCGTCATCAGAGTCGGACTCTTCAGCAAGCGAGGATGAAAGTGAGTAGATGAGTCAGCGTGGCATGCAGCATGTAGGGCAGTTTCAGCATCAATATCTCAATGTGCGTGTCCCGAAAGGCCTGTGACTGTAAGCATTCAGGCACAAGTGGTCTGTTTCTTAAGTTGTTGGAGTGTTTTAGGGTGCTTTCACACCTGTGAATCGATTCAGTTGTTCCGAAACAGAGATTACAATTGTTACACTGTTGCTCTTTGCTCTTGGAGCGGTTCACTTTCACATTGCAAAGTTTCTAATCGGACCAAAAGAGCTAAAACAAGTCACGTGTGAGTAAACTCTCCTCACATTGGTCAGTGTCAGGGTTTATTTTGCAGCGTCCCGCTCAGCTGTCAGGAGTGGTGGTGGTTAAGTGATTGACAAGGTGCGCGCACGCGACGTGTCTGAGGAGAGACGCGGTAGGGAGGGGTGAAGGGTGCGCAACGATGCCTATTTGAGAACCGGGAGGGAGACGCAGGATTAGCGGGAGAACATCACTCGTTTACGGGCATCCGGAGACTCGTGAAACTTCCTGCCATGCTGATAATTATCTCTTCATATAGCCTTATGCCTATTACATATCCATAAAACACTGTGATATAACCGCGCTCGGATAGGATCGCTTTCTCACTGCAATCGAACCGCTCCAGGGTTCGTTTCAATCGAGCCGAGACCACCTCACTCATGCGGTCTCGGAGCAATTACCTTGGCGCGGAACAGAGCGCGATTGCCCTGTTCACATATGCCAAACGTACCACGCTAACTGGGCAAACGAGACTGGTTCCGAAACAAAAGTGTAGGTGTGAAAGCACCCTTAATTGACCTCCCTTGCCATAACTATTGCCACAAAGCGCATATGAGATAATGACGTCACTACGTAATAACCAGTTATGAACCGATATCTATTCAAGAGTTCACACTTAGCTGATGATTGATAATCTAGTTTGCTAGATTTGGCGTGCTGTCCCGGGAGAATGCCCTGAGCTTATACGATCCTCGAGCCCTGGGCTCCCTCCCGTTGCAAGGCGAGAGGGGAGTTTGAGCTCAGGTAGATCTTGATGACTCCCCCTCTTGCTTATTGTAGCTCAGTTTCAGATATGGATGCTGAGAAGTTGTACTCAGAGTGTAGCTAAAATATTTTAGATGAATTGTTTAGGGTGCTTGTTTTTGAACTGTGGGAGGAAACCGGAGGACCCGGGGAAAACCCACGCGACCGCGGGGAGAACGAGCAAACTCCGCACAGAAATGCCGTCTGGTTTGGAAAGGAATTAAACCAGGGGCATTCTTGCTGTGAGGCAACAGCGCTAATCACTGGCCACCGTGACGCCCGTTTGAAAGGAGGGAAGTAGGGTTGGGTGTGGGGGGGTGTTATTGGACGAAGATATTGAGATGAGAAAAGTCTGGTTATTAATAGTGAGTTAAGAATCGTCTGATAAGATAATCAGTTAAAAGTTGGAACAGATGTGAACAATCATAAGCACGTGATCCTCTCGAAATTTGTTTATAAATAAACTTCACTTACTGAACCGATACTGAATTGTTCGTGTCTGCATTGCGGTGCACCAAAGAAATACTAGATTTTGACACCCCTACTCTGTTACATGAAATAGCATGCAGTGCTAATGTGAGTGTGTCTTTTCCTGTGTGTCCAGCAGTGTCAGTAAAGGCTGGCCTGAACACGCGAGCGATGCGCGAGATGTACCGCAGCTATGTGGAGATGCTGGTCAGTACGGCGCTCGACCCGGACATGATTCAGGCTCTGGAGGACACAGAAGGTAATGCCAGAGTCATTGCTTACTGCTGCCATCATCAAAACACGAGCCCAAATTCACCCTTCCTCTTGTATTATTACCCATTTCAGATGAGTTGTATCTTCCTCCAATGCGCAAGATCGACAGCATTATCAGCGAGCAGAAGAGGAAGCTGTTGAAGAGAGTCAACATGAACTCCCAGCACCAGGTAGTGCAGATATTATTAGTGCCTGCTTGATTCTTTTCTTCAGTCACTGCTTTACTCTGCTTGTGCCTTAGCAACAATCACCACTGCATAAAAATCAAGGACATTCACAAGCACCAGTGTTTGGTAAGGAATTCATATAGGCTGCATTTACACTGGTTCATGGTTCAAGTGAGCCAATTCCGGCACAAATGGGATATGGCCTATGTACCTATTAGAGCTGCACAATTAATCGCTAAAAGATCGCGATCTCGATTCGACCCCCTAGACGATCTTAATCCAGCATTTCTACGATTCTGTCAATCATATTTTCAAGTTCAGGAGAGAAGAAAAGGCGGCTGCACGAGTCTTCGTCGTTTTACACACGTTGCTCAGTGACACTGACACCTCCAAATGATGAGTCACACGAATGAGTCACATACTGTATTTATAAGGTATAATTCACCTAATAATGTCATTTTTGTCTTTATATAATGATGTTTTCGTGGCCGGGAAAATCACACGTGATGTGAGCTGCTGACCGTGAGCTGTTATAGAGAGGGCGCGCGCGCTCTACTTAATAATAGACGCGCGCGCCTACTTTAGTGAACAGAACCTGCATATGTTGCGAGTAACAGGTAATACAGTTGTAAATAATATTCTGTTTATGGCACAGAGTGATCGTTTGGGAGCCGCGCGAAGTATGAACTTAGCAGTCAAAATGAAACCAAAAGTGTGCACTTCATTTAAATGATCATATCGCATTATGATTACGGCAAGCATTTGAAATGTTTTTTCTTTCATAGTGAACCCACAGTTGTGCATGAAAATAAATGTTTACAGTGTCAGTATAACTACTCGAGCCTATATAGTTGAATATAATCTGATAATGGCAAATGTCTGATTTTACCAGAGAATAAATTTGTCTAATATGACAGATTGCAAGCATATATCACAAACATAATAATTCAACATCAGATTTATAAGTAGAATAGAATTATTTATAGAAACCAGTAGACCTACACATAATATTATTATCGATGTTATGCCCTATGTTTGTTTTTACCATACATTTATTTTACATCTACAGAATCGTGAGAAAATCGTGATCTTTATTTTAAGCAAAAAAAATCGCAATTTTCATTTTAGCCAGAATCGTGCAGCTCTAGTACCCATGTATGTAAGCAGGAAAAAAATCACATGGATTCTGATTTACTCAAATCAGATTCAGGCCTTCTTCATATGTTTTGACGCATTTAAAATTTGTGGCAAATAACTAATTATCTTTTTGGTGTGGTCAGAGATAATTTTGGTAAATTCTTAATTTTGAGCCCTAAAAAAGTCATGTGAAATAAAAACTAAATGCATTGCGACACAACAAATTTGCTCATGCACACTGAGCAAGCTAATACACAACACACACAAAAAGTGAAATGAATGAGGAGGCATGTAGACAACACAACATCTAAATCAAGTAATTCCAGTATGTCAAAGTCACATTTATTCATATAAAATATATTTTCCAAACAACAAAATTGTGGCGTATTAAAATGGCAAGTGGCTAGTAATGTTGGAAATCTACTAGCCACAGTGGCTGATGATCAGCAAAGTTAATGTCAAGCCCTGGTTATTTACAGTATTATTAGCTTTAGTCCACATTCTGGTCAAACAGTTCTCTGTGGATGTAGTCCGATTCAATTTTGATAACAGAATTGTAACTCACTTTTGTTATACATTTATCCATGCCTACAGTTGAAGTGAAAATTATTAGCCCTCTTGTGATTTTTTTTTTCTTTTCTTTATCAATTATTTCCCAACTGATGTTCAACAGAGCAAGGAGCAAGTGTTTCCTATAATATGTTTTTTTCCTGGTAGAAAGTCTTATTTGTTTTATTTCGGCTAGAATAAAAGCAATTTTTAATTTTTAAAAAACTATTTTAAGGTCAATATTAAAAGCAATATGTATTTTAATTGTTAACAGAACAAACCCCTGTTATACAATGACTTGCCTAATTACCATAACTCACCTAACGAACCTAGCCAAGTCTTTAAATGTCACTTTAAGCTGAGTACTAGCATCTTGAAAATATCAAGTCAAATATTATTTACTGTCATCATGGCTAAGATAAAATAAATCAGTTATTAGAGATGAGTTATTAAAACTATTATGTTTAGAAATGTGTTGAACAAATCTGCTCTCCGTTAAAAAGAAATTGGGAAAACAAATAAACAGGGGGGCGAATAATTTAGGAGGGCTAATAATTCTAAGCCATTTTAGTCAGGTAGACCTCACAACAGCAGAGAAAACGCTATTAGGCTTATTACAGTTTATTTTCTGCTATGTCACATGTGTGTCACTTGAAAGGCATTGTATAAACCCTGTAGAAAGCTCTGTTTCCTGAATGTCTTCTCCTGCTTCTGCTCTACAGGAGACTCTTCACACGTTCCCTCAGATAACAGCGGAGCCTCTGGACTCGGGGTTGGTGAGGGTCAGGCTGGGAGGAGAATGCTACAACCGCAAAACTCTGAACCGCATTAAAAAGAGTGTTCCCAAACCACAGGTCAACACAAAACCTTCCAGCCAACACTGTATTGCAAATAAATGATTTGAAGCTTCTGCTTATTTCTTGAATATCAGCATTATAAAGGCTGATTTATACTTCTGCGTCAAGCGCACGCCTATGGTCCGGTGCTGACGCACCTCTCAAAAAAATGTAACGGCGCTTTGAGCAAGCTCTGTGATTGGATGGCTTGGTCGCTTTGCCTAGTGTGGGTGGTGCTGAAAGCTGCAAACACAATGGAGCGAGTTTTCACAAGTGCCGAGTCCTGTGAAGGAAACTTGTTTTGTGTTCACCTTATGATTCAAGTTGTTGCACATCTGCTAGTTCCCGCTCTGAATGAGCTAGTTTTAGATACTTTCAGAAAAAACAAAACACCTGTGAAGAAACTCGACAGAGAGGAACATAAAAAAACATACTGCCAGCTAGGGCTGGGTGATTTTTCAGATTTTTTCGATTAATTCGAATTTACGTTTTAAGACTATTTAATTTTTAATCAAATCGAGAAATCGCGATTTAAAAAAAAAAAAATTTTTATACATTATAATTGCACCAATGCTCTTTGGTTCACTCTCTGTATGAAGCAGGAAGCACACCAGAAGCGCCTCTCGGCGACGTGCCACACAGCACCACGCCATGGATTTTAGAATTCTAAACAGGTTTCTATACACACACCCAGCCACGATTCACGAAGCAGTTCTCTTTTCAGCTGGCCCACAGAGCGCCATCTGTTTAGTTTCATGTTAAATATCATGTGAATGTGCGCGTTTGGTGTGTGATGGTTTAAACTGTCATGTCCGCGCCGTGTCGCGGCGCTTCTGGTGTGCGACCTGCTTGACTGCCTGTTAAAGCGTGAAGTCATGTAGGATTTTACTTGTTGCACTTCTGTGTGGATTATCAAGACATTCACTCAAGTCGATAAACTCGATCTCAACATGTATGAAGGACGTAAAAGCCTGCCATGTGAAAAACTGCGCCAATCTTTTGGTTTGAACATGAGTAGAAGTGAAGGACTGTAGCAGTGAAAATGAAAGTACCCGGCCCCATGACGTCATTTAGCGGACCTAGTTGAAAACCAGACTGATCAGGCAGCATAATACAGAGTGGAGCAAAGCGCATCAAATGATCGGTATTTAAAAGGGGGAAAAAAGAAAAATAGATTAAATATATTATTTTATATTAGACACACATCTGGTACTTGTATTTACTCCTGCTATACGTCTACAACTTCACACATTGGGTTAAATTAGGCTTTACAGTTTCCATGTTCAGTCCTTTACTTCCACTGTATCTTTTTAAGAAAAAGGCAGCAGCTTTACAACCTGTCATTCAATCAGAAGACAAAGTCAAAGCCGAGCTGACAGCCAATCTTTCCTAGGCTCAGCAAAACTTGCAAAAAAAATACCTCTGTATTCCTGCAACTGCATTATTTACACAAATATTTCTTATTCAAATCTTCAGCAACGCTATTTAACTTAATTTAACTTTAATTTGTTTTACATTTATTTACACCTTGACCGATTTTTTTTGACATGCCCTTTTAAAATACAATGTTCCATAACCAGATGGTTTTTCAAGTTACTTTCAGTCATGTGGTTTTAATGTTTTGAGAAGACTAGTTACACAATCAAAAAAAAATCGAAATTGTGAATTGGTCAAACTTTATAAAAAACCTAGATTTTTTTTTTTGCTAAATCGCCCAGCCCTACTGCCAGCTAGCATTTCGGAAGTGCTATTGCAGAGCAACACAAACAGCACACAGAAGTATAAATTCACTGGGTCAGCGCGATCACAATGCAGAAGTATAAACCAGCCTAAAGTGATTTTTGAAGGATCATGTGAGACTGCAAACGGATGTAACAATGTTGAAAATTCATTGAACGTGATATTAATTACATTGACAGCCCTAGTATTTAAAAGTAACAACACAGAGACTATTTTAAATGCTAACACGTCTCCACGTCTGTCTTTTCCAGGACCTCAAGCTGTCAACAGAAATGTGTCGAATCTACAGTCTCTACCATTCACTGCATCACTATAAATACCACACCTTCTTACACTGTAAGAAAGAGGTAAGAACTGAACTACAGTGGTAGATCCTGCATGATCCCTGCACGCTTAATGGGCACATTATGATGCACACACATTTAAAGAATCTGTTTTCTCTAAAAATGTTTTACATTTCAGAAAAACTAAAGGCTTTAAAAAATCTTAAATTCACTTAAGATTTTGTATTGTAGGTCTTAAATAATTGTAAACAGGTCCTAATTGTCCTATATCTATGTAAAGCTGCCCAATCCGACAACCAGCAATCCATTTCAATAGAACTTTTAACAAAACTCTATTTATAACTCTATTTACCAATGTGGTTTTATTATCGTCCTTACAATAATGTTTGTTAAAAGGTTCTATGTGTATTTATAGTCCATATATGGTGAGCGCACTGACCTGGACAGACTGTTGTGTGACATTGTTTATTATAGATTTTCTTAAAGATGAGTTGTGTTGAAAAATGTTTATGTTACAACTAGGGTTTGCTTGTTTTGAGAATTTGTTGAAAATGTGGCTAAGAAATAACTAATTATAATACATTAACCGGCCACTTTATTAGGTACACTAGTAAGTGTACCTAATAAACCCACTAGTACCAGGAAAGACCCAATTTTGCCTTCAGAGCTGCCTTAATTGTTCATGGTTTAGATTCAACAAGGTACTGGAAATATTTCTCAGAGATATTGCTCCATATTGACATGATAGCGTCACGCAGTTGCTGCACATCCATGATGCGAATCTCCCGTTCCACCACATCCCAATTGTGCTCTATTGGATGGAGATCTGGTGACTGTGGAGGCCATTTGAGTACAGTGAACTCATTGTCATGTTCTAGAAACCACTCTGAGATGATTCGCGCTTTATGACATGGTGTTATCCTACTGGAAGCAGCCATCAGAAGATGGGCACACTGTGGTCATAAAGGGATGGACATGGTCTGCAACAATACTCAACATGGTCAACATGGACATGGTCAGCAACAATACGGTTGGCTGTGGCGTTGACACAATGCTCAATTGGTACTAACGGCCAAAAAGTGTGGCAAGAAAATATCCCCCACACCATTACACCACCACCACCAGCCTGAACCATTGATATGAGGCAGGATGGATCCATGCTTTTATGTTGTTGATGCCAAATTCTGACCCGACCATTTGATGTCGCAGCCGAAATCAAGACTCATCAGACCAGGCAACATTTTTCAATCTTCTATTGTTCAGTTTTGGTGAGCCGGTGTGAATTGTAGCCTCAGTTTCCTGTTCTTAGCTGACAGGAGTGGCACCCGGTGTGGTCTTCTGCTGCTGTAGCCCATCCGCCTCAAGGTTGGACGTGTTGTGTGTTCAGAGATGCTCTTCTGCAGACCTCGGTTTAACGAGTGCTTATTTGAGTTACTGTTGCCTTTCCATCAGCTGAAACCAGTCTGGCCATTCTCCTCTGACCTCTGGCATCAACAAGGCATTTGCGCCCACAGAACTGCCGCTCACTGGATATTTTCTCTTCATCAGACCATTCTCTGTAGACCCTAGAGATGGCTGTGCGTGAAAATCTCAGTAAATCAGCAGTTTCTGAAATACTCAGACCAGTCAGTCTGGCACTAACAACCACGTACAAAGTCACTTAAATCCCCTTTCTACTCCATTCTGATGCTCTGTTTAAACTGCTGCAGATCGTCTTGACCATGTCTACATGCCTAAATGCACCTAGATGCACCTAATTGGCTGAAATTTTAGATGTACCTAATAAAGTGGCCGGTGAGTGAATGATACAATATAAAAGTGTCCTGTATAGGTTTGACATTTCATTTATAATGGTCTTAAAAAGCCTTAAATTTGACTTTGTGAAACCTGCAGAAACCCTGGCGTAAGTTTAATTAGCATCTTTGGATGAAAACATAGCTAATGAAGACCTCTGCTTTCTTTCAGACGAACACTATAGAGCAGGCATCAGAAGATCCAGGACAGGAGGAAGTGGTTCAGCAGTGCATGGCCAATCAGAACTGGCTGGAGACGCTCTTCAACTCCTTCCTGGAGCTGATGGCCCTCAGCACCAAAGTGTAGGACAGACCCAAAAACCAGAGACGGGAGTGTTGAGGATTGGAGACGGCCTCAATCTGCAAAGCGCTTGGATTTATTGTCGCCTAGCTCCCCTGTCCTCCTCCTGGGATTTACAGAAACGTTTTCTTTCAAACGGCTCTCATACAGGACCGGCGATGATGAGATTATTAACTCCCTCCGAGGCCGTTCATCCCTGCACACGGACGTGACCGAACCGAGATGGCCTAAGACGGGCCCGAAGGAAACGGTACACAGAGCCATGGAGGATTATACTGTGTGGAGTCTTTATACTTCTGAGCGGACTGACGGATTCATTGTGGGAAATTACTGACAGGAGGAGTCGACGCTAGCAGAGGAGAAGTCTGTTACTGAATTTTACACCAGTAATTTTTTAAGCAGTTTTATTCTGGCTTTTTTTCTGAATCGAGAGCGAGAGCGAGTGAAGGTTCTGTTTTATAAACGAGTGCGGACCGGAAATGCTGACGTGGGAAGATGCGTGCAAAGACATGTGTGATGACATTCAACGCTTTAGTCTACACGCGTGAAACAAGTGTGAGCTAAAGTAATACATTTTTATTATTTATAAAGACGTTTTTAACAGGAATTCGCACATACAGTACAAACCCAGTAATGCTTCGTAACGGTTCTAATAATGCTATAAATGGATGCCACATTCTGAGCTGTCTTCCTTTTTGCTCTTGAAAGGTGAGGTGGTTGGAGACACAATGGGAAATGTATTATCTGCTTTTATCTGTTACGGAAAAGAGAAAGGCAAGGCAGAGTAGAACAAACTATTTCAAGCTACGCAAGCGGTATTGTTATTATTGCAGTGCATTCTACAGCAGGAGAAAAAAAACATTGCGTGGAAGTGAAAGTGAGAGCAAAGCGTCTGGTTCCCATTAGGGAGGGATTATGTATTAGTACTATTTAAAATGGAAATTTGTTTTTATTTGTTTGTCTTTTGTCTGTATTCTGAGTATTATTTTGGAACAATCTAATACTGTGCTTCTTTCAAAAGTAAAGCCTTTGTGTAAATATTGTACAGCTCTTGACAACAAAAATCTCCCGGTTCTTCTGTACATGGACTATCCCTGTATTTGACAAACAAATAAAACCGTCAACAACTACTTTGTCTCAGATAAAGCACTGCTTTTCTCCAAAGGCCTATTATTGATTTAGCTCAATTATCGATTACACACACTTACAGTTGCAATCAGAATTATTAGCCCCCCTTTAAATTTTATTTATTTTTTAAATTTTTTTGTTTATTGGTTTTAATGAACATACAAACGTAAACAAAAAAGGGCAAAGACAAATGTATCAGTAGACAAGTATAGCAGCAAAAGGCAAAGAGAAAAAAAAATCAATAATTAAATAAATAAAATAATAATAATAAATAAATAAATAAACATACAAACAAAATTCAAAAAACATAATACACATAGTTATGCCGTGGTTAAGGTCACACATATTGTGAACATACATCAGATGTGTTCATAGAGAGGATCATTAGAGGCATCCATATTTTTTGAAAGGCATCCCCTTTGTTTTTTAAGTAGTATGTATATTGTTCCAAGAGCATTGTTTCATTTATGTTTTATGAACAGTTCAAATGTTGGAGGTCTTTGTTGGTTCCAGTTGAGCAAAATGCATTTTTTGCTAGATAGGAGATGATGCCGAGAATTTTAAATTTTTTTTTAAAGATTTCCCAAATGATGATTAACAGATTCATGAAATTTTCACAGTATTTCTGATAATATTTTTTCTTCTGGAGAAAGTCTTATTTGTTTTATTTCAGCTAGAATAAAAGCAGTTTTAAATTTTTTAGAAAGCATTTTAAGGTCAAAATGATTAGCCCCTTTAAGCTATATAATATATATTTTTCTATAGTCTACAGAACAAACCATCGCTATACAATGCCTAATTGCCCTATCCTGCCTAGTTAACCTAATTAACCTAGCCTTTAAATGTCACTTAAAGCTGTATAGAAGTGTCTTGACAAATATCTAGCCAAATATTATTTACTGTCATCATGGCAAAGATAAAATAAAACAGTTATTAAAACTATTATGTTTAGAAATCTGCTTTTCGTTAAACAGGGGGGTTAATAAATCAGGGGGGGCTAATAATTCTGACTTCAACTGTATGTCAGATCCAGTTGACATTTCTCTAAACGTTTGTACTTTTTCTTGATTTTTCGAAGCTTGATTTCATTACAGCTTTCCCTTTTGGTTTTGCTTATGTTCATTTTGTTTATCTTCTGTTCAGGCCAGGAATTTAGCTGCGTTATTGTGGTATTTCCAACAGGAACTTTTCAAAGGTGTAATAAAATGTCTTGGTTTTTCTGAACATGAACAGTCAGAAGTGGTTTAGGATATTTTTCAGAAAGCATAACCAGGAAGTACTACAATCTAATCACATTAGCTAGAAGAAAAATGTGTAAAAAGTACAGTAGAGTGCCACTGAAGTGGTTTTTCAAATGAGAAAACATTCATAGATTTGCAGGAAATTATATTTATAAATATAATGATTTAATTAAAACAAAAATGATTATCATTGTTGTTGTTTTGTTGCTTATGGAGAAAGGTGAGGATTACTGTAGGTTTTACATTTGTAGTCACAATATTGATTATTAAAAACAACAAATTAGAGTTTGTTTGTCCACATTATGTTAATAAAGTACTAATAAATACACGGCAGGATTAATAGATTGTTCTGTGTCACCTTCTCTAGATTAAATACAGTATAAATACATCTAATGTGAAATGTTTTAAATTTGTGTTAATTAATATAGCTTTGATTAAATGATATCATTGTTAATTTAAAAACATTTTTAAAATGTCTTTGGTTTTCGTGTTGTTTATATTGACCCCCTAAAAACTGTAAATACAAGCTTTCTTCATTTTAAACTGCAAGGATTGTTTTTAGGTTAAAAGCTAAAGCTTTGTTAACAGATGTTTTGACTGATTTAACATTTTTGCTAATGTTTGCTGGTTATTTTATAATGTGAAAAGTAGAAGTAGACGCTGTAAAAAGTAAACGAAAATGTTTTGTGCAATATTAAGCACTTCATGTATATGAATAAACAAATAAATGTGGGATATTGGGTCCTCTGAAATAAACATCTCTGATAGGAGTACAGCTGAAACATGTGTTAAAGTCATTGAATTAATCCATTCAAATTAAATTAACTAAATATATTTAAGGCGGTTCATTCCGCCGTGGCGACCCCTGATGAATAAAGGGACTAAGCAGAAGGAAAATTAATGAAATAATTAAATTTAAATAATGCAAAATAATCTGTAAACATAATTCAGTTTCATTTGTAAAACATTATTAAACGTAATATGAGCAAACCATAGTAAATAAAACAGAACTCTTCATTTTTATTGCTAGTTCACTTAATATTAATAACTTTAGATTTGAATATTGTATATTAGGTATGTATAGGTGTCAGGGTGGTGCAGTGTGTAGCACGATCACCTCACAGCAAGAAGGTCGCTGGTCGAGTCGCTGCTGAGTCAGTTGGCTTTTCTGTGTGGATGTTCTCCCTGTGTTGGTGTGGGTTTCCTCCGGGTGCTCCAGTTTCCCCAGTCCAAAGATGTGGTACAGGTGAATTGAATAAGCTACAACTGGCCGTAGTGTATGAGTGTGCATCTCTGTGAGTGTGTGTGAGAGTATGTATAGGAGTTTCACAGTGGGTTGTGGCTGGAAGGGCAGCTGCTCCGTAAAAACTGGATGAGTTGGCAGTTCATTCTGCTGTGGAAACCCCTGATTAATAAAGGGACTAAGCCGAAAAGAAAATGAACATTAAAGAATTTGGTTCACCCAATAATCAACATTTACTCTCTTTGTACTCTTCCTCAAGTGGTTCCAAACATGTTTTTGAGTTTTGAAAACCGCTAACCATTAACTTGAGGAAAGTCAATGGTTACCGGTTTTCAGCATTCTTCAAAATACCTTCTTTTGTGTTCAACAGAAGAAAGACTTGTGAAGAAATACAAGTAAAGGGAAGTAGGCTAACTAATGACAGTTTTCATTTTTGGGTGAACTGTATTGTTCATTGTTATTTTTTAATGTAGCCAATAAACAAATAAATCTTATTTTAAAGTGCTAAATAAACAACGACAGGCCTGACACACACGAAAACACATTTTAATCGTCTGTTGTTTACGTTCTTTTTTAATGGTCGTCTCCGCCATCTTGTGGTCATGCAGGGTAAAATAACTTACGGTGACGTGTGTAATGACGCGAAAAGGGGAAATCGAAACTGATATGGGTTTCCCGAGTAATGTTTAAAACCTGATCGTAAAGCACAGTCTGCTGAATAAAGCTCAGTATTAAAACAACATTGACAAGCAGTTCTGTCTACTTACATCTCTTACATCTGAGGAAGAGCTCGCTGAAAACACACGAGGCCACAAACAACTGTCGCTTCTGTTTGCAAGGTAAGTTACCATTGACAGCCACGGGACTTTTGTTATTGTAGCGTATTAATGGGTTATTATATGAACAATGACATTGTTTTATTTATTACATACATATTATTCAATAATATATGCATGCACTTTTTGAAGTTAAAATGGCCTCTGCGATTTGTCATAAAATGTTTATAGGCTAACGTTAACGTTACTGTCAAGCCAACTAGACGATGAAATAATAATAAATAGTAATTCCGGATTTATATTTTACTGCATTTTAGGATATGTGTGGCAGTTGTGAGAGTTTGTATATGCATACGTGGATATTTCAACTTGGTTTGTAGTTGTAATGTTGCATCACAGTGAGTGTATGTGATTGCATCATTATATGAATCGTGACTTCATGCTATTGGTAATGCCTTCTGTCTATCTAGACATGTACATTTTTAATACTAAAGTGTCATTTAGGATGTGTTAGAAAATGTTAATAATATTAAGTTCATGAATTAAATCACTGACATTAAAAGAAATGTGTTTAATGCTGGCGTATATTAAAAAATACTATGGTATTTTAGAGTAAATTTACTATAGAACATGTGTTTGTGTGAAAGTAGAACATAGATAGAACATGTGAAAGTGTGTTTGAACCTTAATATAGTAAATTATAAATTGCAATGATGTAGTAGTTTGTGGTAATTTTAGTAAATGCTGTTGTAAACACATTACTACATTAATCACTAAAGTAACTTTTCTAAAAACACTACACCACAATATACAGTATGTGTGTGATAATCTTTACATTTTTGTGTGCCAACAATAGGAATATATATGGATATTTAGGGGCATTTTAGACTTTCATTAATTCATTTTCTTTTCGGCTTAATCCCTTTTTTATTCTGGGGGTCACCACAGCGGAATGAACCGCCAACTTATCCAGCATATGTTTTACGCAGCGGATGCCCTTCCAGCCACAACCCACACTCTTAAAAGAAACGGTTCTATATAGAACCAAAAATGGTTCTATCAAGCGCTTCATATATGGAACCCCAAAAAGGTTCTAAATAGAACAATTTTTAGGGTTCATTAAATAGAACCCCAAATGGTTCTTCGAATTCAAGTTAGATGGTTCTATTTAGAACCATTTAAGGGTTCTTTATTTAGGTAGCAGTGCAGCGCTCGTGCCTGCACCGAGTCTGTGTATGCGCGGCAGGCCAGAGTCACGGTGGCAGGCTAGATTGACTATTAGGCCACCCTGGAAAGGTCCCAGTTCTCCCTATGGCCAGTCCATTCCTGGATATTATTAAAACTTTTTAAAACCAAACATATTTTAATAATCCATAGATGAAAGATCAGGTGTTATTTATAAAGGACACAAAAATGCAGGCTAAATGTATTGTGAAATATTAAACCTTTAATTATATATATATATATAGTGTGAATGATGAATCTGTGGTGGACTTCTCCTTTCGAAAAATTAACCGTCACTCTCGAGGCTCTTCACCACCTGTCCACGACGATGATTATTAGTTTTAAATAAATTATTAAATCATAAAAACATGGTACTGCACAGTCTAAATAAATAAACTGGTTATTTTATTTATTTCACAAAAGAATTTGTTAAAAATGTTAAATATTAAGTATATATAATATAAGTTATATGCTAATGTGCAAACCTGAATGAAAAAAAATCCCATCATACTGTACACTGATAAAGTTTTTGACCACAGCATTCATTTTATTAGGTTTTGACTCAAAAAGCTTTGTATATCTGTGATATAGCTTATAATTATTTATAATATTTACTAGATAATTATGTCATAAATCAAAAACTATAGAACCATTTTAATCAAAAAGGTTCTTTGCACTCAAAGAACAAAAATTTTTTGGGTAAAAGGTTCTACTGGCCAAGTATAGAACCCCAAGGTTCTATTTAGAACCTCTAGGAACCTTTTTTTTTAGAGTGCATCTATGGAAAACATCCATACACACTCATTCACACTCATACACTACAGACATTTTAGCCTACCCAATTCACCTGTACCGCATGTTTTGGACTTGTGGTGGAAACCGGAGCACCCGGAGAAAACCCACAAAAACGCAGGGAGAACATGCAAACTCCTCACAGAAACGGCAACTGACCCAGCCAAAGCTCGAACCAGCAACTTTCTTACTGTGAGGCAACAGCACTACCTACTGCGCCACTGTGTCGAGCATTTTAGACTTAATAACCTTGATTGCCATGTTTTGGTGTATTGAATTGTATTAAACCACAGTAAATAATTTTAGTACATTATAAGACACAGAAGAACACACTCTTCCCCATTAGCAAGCAACTCTTCTAAAAATGTGTTGATCAGTTCACTACAGATATTTATATAGTATGGCATTTATATATTAACAAAATATAAATACTATATTAATATGTATATACAATAATATGATACAATATACCACAGTCTAGTTGGCATTTCTGTGTGGAGTTTGCATGTTCTCCGCGTCTTGGTGTGGGTTTCCTTCGGGTGCTCAGGTTTCCTCCACAGTCGAAACACATGCGCCATAGGTGAAGTGGGTAAACTAGTGTATGAGTGTGTGAATGTGTGAGTGTATGGGTGTTTCCCAGTACTGGTTTGCAGCTGAAAGGGTATCCGCTGTGTAAAACATGTTCTGGATGAGTTGGCGGTTCATTTCGCTGTGGCAATCCCTGATAAATAAAGGGACTAAGCCGAAGGAAAATTAATGATTGAATGAAAACCACAGTCTACTAGTTTACTGTTGTAACTTGTAAGTTATACCACAGTATTTACTATAATGTGCTACAGTCAATGTGCTTAAGATGTATCAAATACAGTAATATGCAGTGTTGAGGAGTAACTAGTTACATGTAAAGACGTTACGTAATTTAATTACAAAATAAAAGTAAAAGTAATTCATTACAGTTACTGAGAAAAAATGTGTCACTAAATTACAGTTACTAATGAAAATGTTAAAGATTACAAATGGGGTTACATCTGAATACGTTGAATAATATTAATCTGTTGCTTTGCCTGTTTTTGATGTGCACGATGCCCTATGCTAAAGCGCTGCTATTCTGATGCCTTTTGATTCTAGAACGCTGATTTCTTCTTCTTTCAGTTTTACGGTGGTTGACAAGTGTTTTTGTGTGGTACTGCCACCTCTCGCTCTGGTCAGTGTTAGTTGAAAAATCCACTAGAAACTTAAAAGTAATCAAAAAGTAATCAGATGTAATCAGTTACTTTACTTTTATAAAGGAATTGAAAAGCTACACTACTTATCACATTTGAAATAGTGTAATTTGTAATCTGTAATCTATTACATTTTCAAAGTAACCTCCGCAACACTGGTAATATGCTACTACTGTGTACAGCAGTGTTTCTCAACTGGGTCGCGGGAACATTTTCAGTGGGTCGCGGAATGTGTGATCCAAAAAACAACAAAAGTTTAAATTTTTAACTTATTTTGCTTATATCGGACTTTTATTTTGCGACAACCGTACCGTTTGATTTGTGAAATTTCAGCGCAAGTACGACCCTGAATATGTAAAGTGTGGATTTACATATATTGATGACAAAAAAGGCTTAAAGCCTCAGTGTGTCTTATGTAGAGAGGTGCTCTCACAAGAAAGCTTCTAAATTAAAACGACATTTAGAAACCAAACATCCCAGTTGCAAGGACAAACCTGTGGACTATTTTCAAAGACGACTCCAAGAGCTGAGGGCATCACAAAAGTGCCGAACATCTTCATGTTCAAAACAAGAACAGGCACTCCGCTCATCTTACTGTGCTCACCGTGTAGCCAAGGCCAAGAAAGCCCACACAAAAGCAGAAGAGCAAATAACTGGTGATTATAATAAAAATGGTCATGATTATTTTAATTGTTTTACTTTAATTTGCTGGTTTGTTCTGTTCAACCGGATCAGTGTTAATGTTTTATTAACAGTTCAATTTAGTTCATGGTAACTGAACCTTTCCTCAACCTAACCACTGTTTACAGTATTTGACAGTTTTACTCTGTAATATTTATATAATTTGATACATTTTGTAAAATGACAGCAGTAAAATATTGTTTATTTGTAAGTCTTGGTGATTTTCTTATGATTTATCGGTCACTGGGTATGTTAACAGATAAATACAAATGAATTACAATTACTTAAAATATATTTTAGTTCTTAAGTATTTTGGGTCGCGGCTAGATGACCATGTAAAAATGTGGGTCCCATGGCCAACCAGTTGAGAACCCCTGGTGTACAGTATACTACATTTTACTACATTAAACTGTATCAAATGGTAAAGTATGCTGTAGCATGTGTTTTTTTAAGTGGGAGGGTTTTTAAAGTGTTTGAACATGTGGATGTTTCAGCATGATTTGCTGTTTGTACAGGTCCTGTCTATTGATGAATGTTGTGCTGTATAGTCTGACTGCATCATGACTCAAGCAAAACCGCTGTTCGTGCCCTGGTTGTATGAACAAATCCAGAGTGGACGTTATCCTGGAGTATGCTGGAAAAATGAAGACTGTACCCAGTTCAGCATTCCCTGGAAACACGCTTTGAGACAGGACTCCAACAGCGACGATGTGCTCATATTCAAGGTAAAAATATGCTTAACTTTTCTATATTAAACAGAATCAGAAAGAGCTTTATTGCCAGGTATGTTCGCACATACGAGGAATTTGTTTTTGTGACAGAGCAACAAAATGACTGAGACAAAACACAGATAATAAATATATTTAAAAAAAAGCAGTAAATAGTGAATGCAAAAATATTCAGTGTAACTAAACAGCAGTATAATATATATAGTATAAATATATTTATATATAGTATAAATAAATACAAAGTATAAATATATATAAATAAATATAAATTATACTGTATATAGTATAATATAGTGTCAGAAACAAATTGTTTGCAACAGTTTTGCATGCAACACTTTTTTTAGTGCACTGAAAAAAAGTGTTGCATGCAAAACTGTTGCAAACAATTTATTTGTGTTGAATTTAAACAAACAAATTAAGTTTAATAATGTTCAACTTAATTTGTTTGTTTAAATTCAGCGCAAATAAATTGTTTACAACAACTTAACGTAAAAAAAATTTAGTAAATCCAAGCGATCATCTTTGAATGCTTTTTTTCAGTGTAGAATCCAAGTGCAGATTTAATATAGTATAGTGCAGTAACAGTGACAAAAAAATACAAAAATACAAAGTACAAAATATCAAAACAAACCAGGAACTCAAACAGACTAAACTAAAACTAGACTTTGACAACTAGGATAAGATAAAAAACTGGATACAGGATGACAAGACTGGATTCAAACACATACCACAAGGGAGACAACGACCAACTGACAAACAGAGGATAAATGACTGAATATATAGTCCAGGTAATCAACGGAGATTGGAGACAGCTGTGGTTGTAAATCAGTGTAGATGACAGACCGGGTGTGTGTGCGAAAGAATGTATGGAAATGTAGTCTTTTTGGTCGCTGTAGTTCCACTCAGTGTCCATTGAACTACAGCGCCCTCAGGTGGTCACTGACAGTCATGACAATATAGTTTAAATAAACACTATACGTTTTTGAACGTGATACTTAAAGGGAACCTATTATGTACATTTTTAATTGTAAAATAAGTCTCTGTCTCTAGAGTGTGTATGTTTAGTTTCAGCTCAAAATACCCCACAAATAATCTTTTATAACTCTTTGCCCCTTTTAGCCTTTGATCCTAATTGTGTAATTTTGGTGACTGTCGCTTTAAATTCAAATGAGATTGTGCTCTTTTCGAAATGGGGCGGAGCTACAAACGCTTGTGTAAAATGCATGCATCTGTATTTAATGCACAGTTTACCGCTCTATTTTCCTTTTATAGCTGATGGATTTCTACATATAATGAAGAGAATTTAGTATGTTTCTTGTTTTATTAATAGTATGGCACAGTAAACTAAAAAAATACATGTATTTGCTGCTTGTTCAAACTCCTAAACTATTATACGCTTTCAGTATGTCTTTAAATAATTTACAATCTTACTGAGTATTTCACTTGTAGCCTGGATGTGTTTTGGTGCTATAATTAAATGATGTATTTCTTTAATTGTATTTTTCTATTGTTTTTTTTTCATGTGTAGTCTCCAATGTTTATCATTTGGTGACACTCTTTAAAAAAGAAATTACAAATCTCAAGAGGCTTTCCTAATAAAATAAAGGTTTAAGTAAAAAAAATATTAAGCAATTTTGTATCTCTCGTCAGGCGTGGGCTCAGACTAGCGCTGCTGGTGATGGCAGATTGAATGGAGATCCGTCTGTGTGGAAGAGAAACTTTCGCAGTGCTCTTCGCGCTAAAGGCTTCAAAATGATATCTGACAAAAAGAATGATGGCGCCGATCCACATAAAGTCTATCAGTTTCCCTCCGATCCTCATTCTGCAGGTGAGAGACATTACATTTGTGCTTGATGTCGAGACTTAAGAAAGCCCAAAACATTTGGGACGATCTCACCCAGGTCCTCGTCTGTTTCAGATCTGCCGAAGCACTAACAATTAGACTAAAAGCAGTTTATACCCAAGAGTAATAAATGCACATAACAACTCAAATGCTGCCAGCTAACACTGACTGTGCATTACAGTACTGAACAATTCTTTAGGTGGGAACTCCAATTAACAATGTACGATAATATATAATCTAACTGTTACACCTATTCATTCAGAATAGGATCTTCACACATGCAGGAGACATGCTTTTATTTCACTTATATTCATTTTATGTCTTGTTTTGTATTTATGACATTGAAATCTTTGTACAATATATTTGTTCACCTAAGGCTTGCACTTCAATTTCATACTTGTACAATGACAAATATTCTGTTCTGTTCTGTTCTTTTTTATTCTGTTCTGTTGTATTCTGTTCTGTTCTATTTGGTTCTATTCTAGACTATTTAGTTCTATTCGATTCTGTTCTATTCTGTTCTATTCAATTCTATTCTGTTCTATTTGATTCTGTCCTGTTTTATTCGATTTATTCAATTATATTCTGTTCTATTTAATTCTATTCTATTTGATTCTGTTCTATTGTTCTATTCGATTCTGTTTTGTTTTATTCAATTCTGTTCTGTTCTATTCGATTTATTCTATTCTATTTTGTTCTATTCAATTTTATTAAATGTATTACTATTCTGTTCGGTTATATTCGATTCTGTTCTAATCAATTCTATTCGATTTATTCAATTATATTCTGTTCTATTTATTTCTATTCTGTTCTATTCTATTCTGTTCTATCCAAATTTGTTCTATTCTGTTCTATTCGATTCTGTTTTGTTATATTCAATTCTATTCTGTTCTATTCGATTTATTTAATTCTATTCTGTTCTATTCAATTTTGTGCAATTTATTTCTATTCTGTTCCATTCAATTCTATTCTATTCTATTCTATTCTATTCTATTCGATTATGTTCTGTTCTATTCGATTTATTCAATTATATTCTGTTCTATTTAATTCTATTCTGTTCTATTCGAATTTGTTCGATTCTGTTCTATTCAATTCTGTTTTGTTTTATTCAATTCTATTCTATTTCATTTATTTCTAATCTTTTCTGTTCTATTTGATTCTGTTCTATTCTATTCTTTTCTATTTTATTTAATTCTATTCTGTTCTGTTCTATTCTATTCTGTTTTATTGTATTCTATTCTGTTCTATTCTATTCTAGACTATTCTGTTCTATTCAATTATATTCTGTTCTTTTCTTTTCTTTTCTGTTCTAATCTATTCTATTTAATTCTGTTATATTCTATTCGAGTCTGTTCTATTCTATTCAATTATGTTCTGTTCTATTCAATTCGATTCTGTTCTGTTTTTTTCCATTATATTCTGTTCTATTTGATTTATTCAATTCTATTCTGTTCTGTTTTATTCGATTCTGTTCTATTCCATTTTATTCTATGCTGTTCTATTTAATTCTATTCTATTCAATTCTGTTCTGTTCTATTGTATTCAATTCATATCCATTCTATTCTGTTCTGTTCTATTTGGTTCTGTTCTATTCTATTTCATTATATTCATTCCTTAATGTTTGTTTTCTGTCCTCCAGCTTCAGGATCTGAGGGCTCTCAAGAAACTGATGTGAGTATATTTCATCACATTTAGTCCATAATAAGATAAAGCTGTGTATATAAATGAAGAAACCACATGACCATTCTGAGTTAATCTATGACTAATCTGAGTAAAGTCATCTGTTTGAGGAAAACATATATTTTTTTGTTATATTTTGATGACAATTTTTTTATTAAATTATTGTCAATTGGGAGCGACATGGTGGCTCAGTGGTTGGCACTGTTGCCTTACAGCAAGAAAGTCGCTGGAGTCCCAGCTGGGTCAGTTGACATTTCTGTGTGGAGTTTGCATGTTCTCCCCGTGTTGGCGTGGTTTTCCTCCGGGTGCTTCATTTTACCCCACAGTCCAAACACATGCGGTACAGGTGAATTGAATAAATTAAATTTCCTTAGTGTATGAGTGTGAATGAGAGTATATAGGTATTTCCCAGTATTGGGTTGCAGCTGGAAGGGCATCCACTGCATAAAACATATGCTGCATAAGTTGGTGATTCATTTAGCTGAAATTAATAAATGAATGTTGTAAATTGGAGCAATTTTTTTAAAATAACATAAAAAGCGCCATGTTTAAAATCATTTACACAAAAACGTAATCAATGCAGTCCCAATGTTTAACTTCAGAAGAGTCTAGAAATCTGTATTTAGTGGAATAACCTTAATGTTTTCAACACATTTGACCAGTTCTCATTTTATTAGAAAGAATGCTATATTTTTGGATTTTTATTTGAAATTAGGAAAAATATTTCTAATTTTTATAAAATTGTTTTCAACCCAATGATTCTGCTAAACTAACACTATTACCAAAATGAAGGCGTTACCTAGTATGATATAAAAACTACCATAATTTAAAGATCTGTAATATCGAGTTAATACATTTAAAAACACTTTTACCTCTGAAAAGTAATTTCTTCAGTAACTGATTGATTTGTGATGACGTTTTGACTGTTTTGTGTTGCTCAGATGTGTTGTCTATATGGTCTCATCATACACACACTGACTGGTGATTTTTTTTCTGTCATTTTTAAGATTTCACCACATCTGTATGTGGATAATGTGTTCACAGGTGAGACAGAATTGTTATATTATACCCAACTTATTATATATTTATGATTCAGGCTTTTTACTGTGATGGCAGTGTGTTGTAGTTTCATATTTGCTTATACTCTGATGTTTTTTCTTAGCATCATTTGATTTGGACCAACATTTAACTGGACTACACCTCCAGGACCCATCAGCACGAGGTAAAAGCCAGAAAAAAGGGTGCTTTACTTCACCAGGCTTAAATCAATCAATCAATCAATCAATCAATCCTATCTATCTATCTATCTATCTATCTATCTATCTATCTATCTATCTATCTATCCATCCATCCATCCATCCATCCATCCATCCATCCTTTTTTTCCTTCCTTCCATCCATAAACATTAATGTCCATCTTTTCATAAACATTAGTGTCCACCTTTCTATAAGCATTAGTGTCCATCCATCTATCCATCCATCTATCTATAAACAAATGTATCCATCCATCCATAAAGATTCGTCTCCATCTATCCATCCATCCATCCATCCATCCATCCATCTATTCTTTCATCCATTCATCTATAAACATTAGTATCCATCCATCCATAAACATTAGTTTCCATCCATCCATCCATCCATCCATCTATAAACATCAGTGTCCATCCATCCATCCATCCCTCCATCCATCCATCCATCCATCCATCCATCCATCCATCCATCCATCCATCCATCCATCCATCCATCCATCCATCCATCCATCCATCCATCCATCCATCTATAAACATCAGTGTCCATCCATCCATCCATCCATCCATCCATCCATCCATCCATCATCCATCTATAAACATTAGTGTCCATCCATCCATCCATCCATCCATCCATCCATCCATCCATCCATCCATCCATCCATCCATCCATATATTCAGTGCTGTATTTATTTAATTTCAAATCTAGTAAACACATATTATTTTATTAAACATTTTATTTCATTGTTTGTGGGCATATACTATTTTTAAAGATTATTTTTAAATGTGTTTAGCTTTGTTGAGTTTTATGTGTTTAATTAATAATTTCTGATGAATCCTTAAGGCTTTGAAGGACATTAGATGGTGCATGTTCAGCTTTTTCCTTTTTCTTTCAGTCCATATCATTTTGAATCCAAATGACTTATATGTGGATCCAGGAACCCAGATATACGATTTTCAAGCAGTGGTCCCTATTGAAGCCATATCCTCCTCAGATGAAGGTGCTGTCGGTGGTTTGGGACAGATTTCGCCAACTGAGGGAGCGATGGCTGTCAATCACATTTCTCGGGAATATCAACAGACTGCCACTCAACCACATTTAGGAGCTGTACCTGATCACACTGCCATTCCTGAGCCAAATCTGGGTAGGTCAATGCCCAAATTCACATATTGGCACCAATTACTGGTGTTTAATAGAGGTATGTGCTATGTGTGTTCCAGAAATATGCATCTTCAGAGTCTAAAAGTATCGACTGTGTGATGAAGCGCGTAGTTAGAATAGCCCTATATTATAGTAACACATAGTGAAGTAAAATCACACCAGAATAAGTGCTGTTTTACCAAACATTAAAGAGATAGTTCAGCCAAACATTTAAATATTCTCTCTCTCTCTCTCTCTCAAGTGGTTTCAAACTTATTTGAGTTTCTTCACAAATGAAAACCTATAACCATTGACTTCCATAGTAGGATAATACATTTCAATGGGATTCAGTGATTAAAGGGTTCCAGCTTTCTTTAAAATATCTTTGTTTGTGTTCAACACAAGTAATTGTGACTGAATGATGGCAGAATTTTCATTTTTGGTGTACCTTTAATGTGATATTAATTGTGTAAATCAAATGAAAAATATAAATATTAATAATAATAATAATAATTCATTTTATTTGTAAATGGCGCCTTTTTAGACACCCAAGGTGGCCTTACAATAGGCATCAGCAGACATGCTAAACAAATTAAACATTACTAAAAACAATCATTGACCAAACAAGTTAAGACACAATAGCGAATATAAAAGAACATAATAAAAACAGGATAAAAAAAATTGTTAAGTAAAAGCCTGCTTAAAAAGATGGGTCTTTAGACGTGATTTAAAATTGTGAAGACTATCACTGCTCCTAAGATCTAGTGGAAGTGAGTTCCATAGCCGAGGAGCCATAGAGCTAAAAGATCTGTCTCCCATTGTGCTCAATCGAGTGCGAGGTGGTACCAGGGTGAAGTTGTTGGCTGATCTATGGGTACGAGAGGGGGTGTAGAAATGGAGAAGTTCAGTGAGATATTGAGGAGCGAGATTATGAAGTGCCTTGAAAGTTAGAAGTAATACTTTAAAATCAATACGACACTTTACTGGAAGACAATGAAGCTGATAGAGGAGTGGTGTGATGTGCTCGTGAGATGGCACGAGCTGCATGGTTCTGAACCAGTTGGAGTTTATGGAGAAGTTTGGAAGGAAGTCCAGAAAGACGTGAAGTAACTAATGCGTGGATAAGAATTGCTGTGTTATTAGTTGTGAGAGAAGGGCGGAGATGGGTGATATTACGCAGGTGAAAATATGTTGCTGTTTGTTGAAATATGTTGCTGTTTGTTCTGCCTTGGTGTGACTTGGATTTGTCACAGGACTGTCATACTTATACACTATAAACTTACACACTTAACTATGTAGTGTAGAGTGTAGTGTCGTCCCAAACGGAACCCAATGCTTTTTTTTAGTAAATAAAATTGAAATCGTTTCCCATGCATTAACAGTTGTCAAATAATAAAATAAATACCAAACTACCACCTAGCATAAATGCATGAACAGTCATCATTTTGGAGGTGGTATGATTACTTATTTTGAAGAATTTTGTTTTCACAGTGCAAAATAAAGAAAAGAAATTGGTAACGCTTTATAATAACTATACACTATGAATCATCTATTAAGCATTAGCAAATGTTGAATTCATTATTTGTTAAGCAATAACTCTACATTAATATATGTTAGTAAACAGTTTAGAGTAGAGTAGTTGAGGGCTTTTAGGATAATTCAAAAGGAGTTAGGAAACGGTTAATAAATGATTTAACTCAACATTTATATATTGTATTATTCAGGCATACACTAATAGTTACTATGTATGTTAATAAATGCTTTATAAACTCAATTTACCTAATCTAATCTAAAGTGAGGACTATTTATGCTTTAGAACAGGGGTCACCAACCTATTGGAAACTGAGAGCTACTTCTTGGATATCGTTTAATGTGAAGGGCTACCAGTTTGATACACACTTCCTAATAACAAATTTGCTCAGTTTACTTTTAATTATATGTTATTAATAATTAATGATATTCATCTATGTGAAGACACTGATCATGTTAATGATTTCTCACAATAGTTGTCAACAATGATTGGAAACAGATAAATATCAACCAATGCAAGTGTGATTTAAAAAGAATAGCTAAAACAAATATTAGATGCAGCTTACTTGTATGTGGTGCTATGGTAAGCTAATTTTATAACAGGTTCACGGGCAACTTATGTGATCCTCGCGGGCAACCTGGTGCCCGCAGGCACCATGTTGGTGACCCCTGCTTTAGAAATCCCTTATAAATGACAGTTGAAGGCTCAGTATCAAGTAAACAATTCATCTTTGCAAAAAATACAATTAATGTATACTTTAACTCTTAGGGAGGGTCAATAATGATACAACATTTCAAAGTTAGCGATGTTTAAACTGCACAATAATTTTATTTTAGTACAGATTGCAAAGATTTATTTTTCATTTAAATCAGTTTCATTTGTGCATCTTTAAATTAATAGAAATTAATAAAGTCGTTTATTTTCTGTTTAGAATTTAACCGAGCCTTTAATTGTCATTTATAAGAGATTTATAGCGCATAAATAGTCCTCACTTTAGATTAGGTCACAAAACTGGATGAAGGTGAGGTAATAAAGCATTTATTAACATACAAATAAACTATTAGTAAATGCCTGAAAAATAAGATATAAAAATGCTAATTTGAATAATTTATTAATCATTTACTAACTCATTCTGAATGATCTTTAAAAACCACCAACTACTCTCAAATATCTGGTTTGTAATTGATGCAACACTTAATTTAGCAATGAAAAAATATTTATTAACAAAGTATGAATATATAATCATTAAGCACATTTTATAGGTGCTTATTAGTCAAGAATAGAGCGTTTGCATCAGCAGCTGTAATGCTTAATAAATGATTCACATTGTGTAGTTATTATAAAGTGCTACCAAGAAATCCAACCTCAGTGCCCGATAGCTTCCTTTTGCTACGTGAGTCCATTGAGTGCGTGAAGTGTTCGACATTACACACTTATTGGTAACAGTTGAGTAAGTGCACTACAGAATGTTACGTTTACACACATCCACAAATTACACGTAAATGCATCAACTTTTTAGTGTAATACTCACTACTCTTGAATACATTTGAAAGGGCTACTTTTTACTCATACTTTGACTAATATTTACTGCAGATGCTTTATGCACTACATTTTTAGGCAAGTAATGGCACTTTTACTTGAGTATGACTTTCCAGTACTCTTTCCACCACTTGCAACACACTCAATGTTTTGAAAGATGTTTGGAAAAAAGGACAGATATTCCGGACTCTCAACAGACTGTTTTCGATTAGCTGAAATTGGTATACAAGACATTTTTTTGTTTTTGTTTTCACCTGTAAAAGTAAGAAGGATACACTGGGAAATTATATTGAAGATAAAAAGAAGGGAAAGCTGAAATTTGAGTTTCATTTGTGTGAAGGAACTCAGCTCACATGCTATTATTAATGTATATAAGTAACCACAGTGATACTGGTGCTTTAATTGTATATGTTTCTATCCATGATGGGCCTAAAGCAGCCAAGATTGTACAGTTAAAAATTATGCAGTGCAATACAGTGATGCAGTGTGTCTGATTATCATATGTCTTTCTCCTTCACAGCGACATTTTTTCGGATCAAGGTTTATTATAAAGGGAAAATGGTGATGGAGCAGTTGGTGGAGAACGACTCTGGTTTCAGACTGATGTACCACAGAAACATGTTGGTTTTCATGATTTTATGACCGCTCTTTACATTTACATCACAGGCTCATGCTTGATGAATAGTGAAGGCACACTTTAGCCTTAAATGAGATTCCTTCTTCTGTTGAACACAAAGGAAGATATTTTGAAGAATGTTGGGTGGAAAGTGCAGCTGTTGGCATCAATAGTACACTCTCAGAAATGAAGACACAAGATCTGTCACTGGGGCAGTACCTTTTCAAAAGGTACATATTTGTACCTGAAGAGTCCCTATTGGTACCTCAAAGGTACATTTTAGGTACATTTGGGTACTGATATATACCTTTGAGGGACTACTAAAGACTCTTGGGGTACAAATAAGTACCTTCTGAAAAGGTGCTGCCCCAGTGACAGATCTTGTACCTTCATTTCTGAGAGTGTAGGAACAAAATGTCAACGGCAGTTTTTTCAACTCCAGCATTCTTCACAGTGTCTTCCTTTGTGTTCAACAGAATGAAACACTTTGAAAAACTTTTCATTTTTGTCTAAACTATCCCTTTAACCATATACTCTACTCTTGCAGGGATGAGTCAGGCCTGCAGGATGGTGCGGGTCTCCCAGTGGTCACTCTTCCTCCAGCTGAAGGAATGCCGGATCAAATGCAGACCAGGCTTACTAATGATATTCTGGATAATCTGGGTGGTCTGGAGATTCGGAGATCAGACGGAGTGATTCACGGTCACCGTTGGGGGTCCAGCAGGATCTACTGGGGTCTGTGCAAGCATGAAAGAAGCCAAACACCCAGAGAACTGTCCAAAAACACACCTCAACCCATTTACCTCATGAAAGATTACATTTCAGGTGGGTCATATTACATTTATCCCATTTAGGTAAACAGCATGCTTATTATTAAAGGCACAGTTCACCAAAAAATCACAACTATTTACACACCCTCAAGTTGTTCCAATCCTTATATCAGGCACGGATTGGCTAATCGGGAGGACCGGGAGAAATCCCAGTAGGCCGGTCAATTTTTTGGCCGTGAGGGCCGGTGTCTCTAGCTGCTTGCACTCTCAGCAGTAGCACTTTTTTCATTTAATTATTCATTTGACCATAGCCTCACTCTTTTTGTTCATTATTTTGCCGCAGCTTCGCTATTTTTATTTATTTTCTCGCAGCCCCGTGAGCAAAATGCTGCACTTGCAGGTTCATGATGATGTAACTATCATTCGACCCCAAACAGCAGCCCCTTAGTGAATATAAGAATTCGAATAATTAATATTAATGAATATTACACCTGCTCAATGAAAATCTGATGATTCACTACATCAATAAATCACTACATCAGTAAATAAACACACCAGCGTCACAGTGCCGTTGTGGTCCACTGGTCAGCACGTTGCGTTACAATGCTGCCAACCCGAGTTTGAACCTCACCTATGTAATTATTATTATTTTAATTTTTATTAAGACATATAATACTGTCAGAGTTGTTGAACATTTGAAGTTCTAAAGCAGCTGTTTTCTTGAAAAAGACGTGGTAGTGTCATTAGAAACTGAATTGGAAAAGACGTTATTTTAATAAAGTCAGTCGTGGTGGGCCGGTCTTAAGCTAGAAACTCCAGGGCTGAAAAAGGAGTCCCACTCATGCCCTGCCTTACATATTATATATTTTGGCTGAACTGTCCCTTTAAGGAGGTCGATCTCAATAAACATGGATGTCTGATGGTGTATCGTTCTGTAGGTTTGATGCAGTTTATTCAGACAGGAGGTGAATCTCCTTCTTGCACTCTTTACTTCTTCCTGGGGGAGAAGTGGCCAGACCCTAAAATGAAGCCTTGGGAGAAGAAACTCATCATGATTGAGGTCAGGATTGGTCATTTTTCCTTTTGCGTCCTTATGGACGTTTATGTCTTTTGGTTTTGTTGATCGTTTTGGCTGTGCTCTTTTTCACTTTTATTTTGGAATAAAATGTTCCTTTCAGGAGCTTCAAAGGCCACGAAACCTGCCTGTCTAAACAGGGTGTTTTCACACCTCTAGCGTTGAAAAAGTCAGAAAAGTGGGCGTGTCCAGCTCTGTTTAGGTGGGAGTGTCGGGGGAGGGAATGAGGGAAGGTTTTGCATAGAAATGGGAGCTTCCATATATGCTGATATTCACAGAGGCAAAACAAACACACAGACGCAGGGACATATATATTTTCAAGACACTTCTATACAGATTAAAGTGACATTTAAAGGCTTACCTAGGTTAGTTAGGTTAACTAGGCAGGTTATGCCGAGTTCAGACTGCATGATTTTCAAAGTTGTCGTGTTACAGATGTTTTCACACTGCATGACTATCTGGGCTAGCGTTTCGTCGCTGCTTTGTTTACACTGCAAGATGGATCGGCGACAGGGACTTTCACATTGCATGACTTTACTATAGAAAGAATCGCCGACAACTTCATCCAAACTACGTCTCACAGCCAAAAACATGTAGTATATATTTTGTTATTAACTACATAATGAGAAAGAAGCCTTTAATGGGGTAGAACATGTACATGTTTGCTCACCTGGGTTTAAAGGGAATTAGCCATTTCTCCTCAACGTTGATAATAAACTAATTTCTTTCTGTATGAAACGTCAAACAGACACAGTTGCTCCTGAGTCCTGTCAAACCTCCACTAGTTTTTCCTCCATTTCGTGGGTCCAAATAAACAGAAAAAGAGCGCTTTTAACTTCTCCCCCAGCCTCCCGCTGGCCTGCAGCAGGTATACACACACACACGCACAAGTAAAAGCTGCTCTCTCATTGGCTGTAGGTGATGGCTGATGTTATTTTCAGTCAAAACTCAATTCACACGGCATGATTTGAATCACCGACAGCTCCAGATATTTAGAATGACAAATATATTACAGGCATCGGCGACTCATCAGCGATTCTCTCAGATCACGTCTTTGAAAGTTCATACTGTGTGATTGTCACTCACGTGCACGAGCAGCGATTTGCCTGTGATTTCAGGCATTTGTCGGCGATTTCTCAAAACCTGTCGGCGAGCCAAAATCGGGGCTAAAATCACACAGTCTAAACTAGGCATAAGGGTAATTAGACGAGTTATGATGGTTTGTTCTGTAGACTATCGGAAAATATACAGCTTAAAGGGGCTAATAATATTGTCCCTAAAATGGTGTTTAAAAAATAAAAACTGCTTTAATTCTAGCCGAAATAAAACAATTAAGACTTTCTTCAGAAGAAAAAATATTATTAGACATGCTGTGAAAATTTCCTTGCTCTGTTAAACAGCATTTTGGAAATATTTAAAAAAGATTTACAAGAGGGTGAATAATTTCCAACAAACTCTAACTGTATGTAAAAAGTGCATCATGACTGATTTGCATGTTTCTTTCTCATCTGCTCAGGTTAATCTGACCGCACTGGAGTTTTTGAAGTCTATGGCTGTTGAACAAGGAGCGTCTTCACTGCAGTCAGACGAGCTGCAGCTTTCCCTGGAGCAAATGATGGAGCTCTGCTAAAAACAACCTCCTGGGTTAACCTGTTTACACTGTGGTGAGCGAATCTGTGGTAAACCATATTTATTCAAGGTGTGAGAAGCAGACTTTGGCTACAGGAGATTAATCAGTGGTTCAGTAGTTCAGTTTACTAGTTCATATACAGTTAAAAGCAAAATGATTCACCCTCCTGTCAAATATTTATTCTTTTTCAAAGTGATGTTTAATGGAGCAAGGCATTTTTCACAGTACTTACTACAATATTTCTTTATGCTGGAAAAAAGTCTTATTTTGTTTTATTTTTTAATCATTTTTAATAATTTTAATTTTAATGATAATAATTTTTTAATAATTTAAGTTTTATTTTGAGTGAAATAAAATCTGTTTTTAATTTTTAAAACACATTTCATGGTCATTATTATTGGCCCCCCTAAACCAATATTTTAACAATAATAAAAAAAAATCTAGTAGAACATTGTGATAAGAAAATATCCATTTTTAAGTGTTTGCATTCCCTCGCAAAACTGCACAAACACTTCCTGTTTACTTCATTCTCCAGTATTTTATCATCCTATCCTGCTATCGCCCTATCATTAAGTATTTACTCATAGTTCTCATCTATTTTTAATCTTGAAAGCACGCTGAAATGAATATATAAATGTCTGCATTCACTTTCTTTCCATTAAAGCTGTGCGTCAATCATCACCCTTCATATGCAACCTCTGAATCAGCAAATGCATGTATACGGATGCGCTCCAAATGATAAACTGATCCCAGATCAGCTTCTGTACACACCATTTAAAGTGACACCTCTGTTATCAAACAAGTGAGGAGCAGCAAATGAATCTCTCGTTTTGTTTCCTTTGATAACAGAGGCATGTCTCTGTAAGATTGCACAGGTCTATAATGAGGGCATTGCAATACTTTAGAAACTGTTTCATTTAAGAGGAAATTAGTTGCGTTTAAAATCAGACATGCAGCACAGACATGTTTTCATATTATTAAGAGTATTTGTTTGTTTAAACACAGTCAAATCCCAAAGTGTCCTGCAATTTCGGTCCTCTTCAAATGGCATGTCCAGAAGCTGATCTGGGATCAGTTTATGATATGGAGCGCGTGCGTATACATGCATTCGCTGATTTAGAGGTTGCATATGAAGGGTGATGATTGACACAGCTTAAATGGAAAGAAAGTGAATGCAGACATTTTATATTCATTTCAGCATGCTTTCAAGATTAAAAATACACAAGAAATATGGGAAAATACTTAATGACAGGATGATAGCAGGACAGAATGGTAAAATACGGGAGAATCCCGGCAAAAACAGGAGGGTTGACATTTTTAAAATGAACAGGAAGTGTTTGTGGAAAAACAGTTTTGCAAGGGAATGCAAAAACCTTTTTAAAAGATATATATTTTCCTCTGTTTTTTTTCACCCACCCATTTTTTTTCCCCACCGTCACCTCCCTTTCGGATCTCCATGAAAATCAGTTATTAGAAATGCGTTAAAACTATTCTGCTTATAAATGTGTTCAAAATCTCTCCGTTAAACAGAAATTGGAGAAAATATAAAAGAATTCAAATCTAACAGGAGGGTAATAATTCAGACCTGAACTGTAAAAGCTAAAAGTCTCATGTGCCGTGTTCGTTCTGTTTTTGCACTACGACTCTTCTCTGATTTAATGATTTTTTATATATTTCTTATAATGTAAATTGTGTTTATTTGGTGTGTGGACCTGTTTTCTTGTTGTTTCTTATTTCTTTTGCTTTTTCAACGTCTATGGCACAATATCAGCATGATGATTTCCAGTCATGTAAATCCTGTCAGGGGGTTTTAGGGGTTTTCTGTAAAACTGTAAATATTGAACTTGTTATGCTTTGTTCTAACAAATAATTTCATTTACAAACCATGATGAGTGAGTGAGTGAATCATTTGAGTCGGGTCTGTTCAGTGAGTCGACGGAACTTGGTCATACATTTATTAACTCAACACATAAGGGAGATTTTACAGATGGGGGGAGCTTCCTGTCTAACTTACATTAAACTGACACACACTGTTTGTGTGATTGTACATTCACAGAAAACCAAACACCGAATCAACATTCAAAACGACATTTAAAGAACAGTGTTTACATCACATTTTAAATGCACAAACTAATCAATTCATGACTTCTTATTTTAATATAAGGTATCGTTCATCATTTAAAGAAGTCTTTTCTGCTCACCTGAAGTTCTTACTGTAAATTGTTGCTTGTTGTGAGTCACTGAATTAATAAATGTACTATATTTATTAATATTAACTTGTATATTATTCCTGAGTTACTCCAGTCCTACTGTCCGTGTCAGATGCTCATTGTTCTAATACAGGGGTGTCAAACTCAATTCCTGGAGGGCCGAAGCCCTGCACAGTTTAGTTCCAACCCTGCTCCAACACACTTACCTGTAGGTCTCAAACAAGCCTGAAGGACTCAATTAGTTTGATCAGGTGTGTTTAATTAGGGTTGGAACTAAACTGTGCAGAGCTGCGGCCCTTTTGGAACAGAGTTTGACACCTGTGGTCTAATAGATCATCCACTCCAGGAAAATAATGTTAGCTGTTTGTTCAGACTACTTATTTAAAATGAGCTGAAACAACATGATATTTGGGGGGTTTCACTTAAATTTGTAAAAACTGATATGCTAACTTGGTGACACGGTGGCTCAGTGGTTAGCACTGTCGCCTCACAGCAAAAAAGTCACTGGTTTGAGTCCCGGCTGGGTCAGTTGGACTTCTCTGTGGAGTTTGCATGTTCTCCCCATGTTGGTGTGGTTTTCCTCCGGATGCTCCGGTTTCCCCCACAGTCCAAACACATGCGCTATAGAAGAATTGGGTAACCTAAAATTGAATGTTGTGTGTGTGTGTGTCTGTGTATGAGAGTGTAAGGGTGTTTCCAGTGATGGGTTGCAGCTGGAAGGGCATCCGCTGCGTAAAACATATGCTGGATAAGTTGGCGATTCATTCCGTTGTGGCGACCCCGGATTATTAAAGGAACTAAGCCGAAAATGAATGAATGAATGAATAAGTTACCTTGGTGACACAGTGGCTTAGTGGTTAGCACTGTTGTCTCACAGCAAAAAGGTTGCTGGTTCAAGTCCCGGCTGGGTCATTTGGCATTTCTGTGTGGAGTTTGCATGTTCTCCCCGTGTCAATGTGGGTTACCTTCTGGTGCTCCAGTGTCCTCTGTAGTCCAAACACATGCGCTATAGGAGAATTGAATAAGCTAAATTGGCTGTAGTGTATTGATTGTGTTGAACGCAGCATCTATTACTGTGTATTTAGGATTCTTTGCTCTAAGAGAACAGCGTCTGTCTGAAAAAGGGATCTTTTGTAATATTATAGATGTCCTTAATGTCACTTTTGATAACTGTAAAGAATCCTGGCTCAATAAAAGTATTTATAAGAGTTATGTTTTACTTACCACAAACCTTTTTGATATGAATTACTGGACTATATATCCAGGTAAATGTTAAGTGTGTGTTTTTCGAGTTAAGCTGTTGATCTGCTAAATGTTTTGATCCAGTCAGTTCTGTCGGCTTCATCTACTCCACGTTCTCCAGGTCGTCCGGATCCTCTTCTGATTCTTTCTCCTCCATGGACAGATCTCTGAGCTCGGACAGCGGCACCAGCAGACCCTCTTTATTCAGTCCCATCGGCTGAATCACATTATCCCTGTTTAAGAAAAAACACAAGAAGGTTTGAGAACCTAACAAAGGATCCTTCTGGAAAAACTGAAACAATTGATTTGATCTGTGTTTTATTTTCTTTCTTTTATATTCTTTTAATTATTCAGTTTCTTTAAAGGGGACCTCTTATGCCCCTTTTTTACAAGAGTGTATGTGGTTTCAGCTCAAAATACCCCACTATTTTCTTAATAATAATTCTTTGAAAAGGCTTTAAACACTGACTCGTGTATTTGCTCAATAATTAGTTTTGGTTCATTTTTAATCAAAATAATTCTAATTCTGACTTGGAGAGTTTGCTGAAGAGGCTGATGAGCCGGTGCGCCTCCTCCTCTTTCTCCTCCTCCGTCATTCCCTCCATGGGGTTGTGCTGCTCCTCCTCCACCTGTCCCGTCACTGGGTTCACCTTGTCTTTAATCTGCCGGTACTCCTCCGTGTCCGAGTCTGAATCGCTGGAGTAACGTGTGCCTGATGAAGAGGCTGATGACCTTTGACCTCCGAGCAGACCTCTTGTGGCCAGAAGCCCGGCGGCATTTCCGTATCCAGTGTACTTGACGAAACGCCTCACTGGTGTCGAGCAAAAAATCAAATGGTTAGTTCATTCCCTTCGGCTTAGTCCCTTAATCATTAGGGGTCAACACAGTGGAATGAACCGCCAACTTATCCAAAACATGTTTTACACAGCGGATGCCCATCCAGCTGCAACCCAATACTGGGAAACACCATATTCACTCATTCACACTCATGGACAATTTAAATTCCTCCAGCTTAGTCCCTTTATTCATCAGGGGTCACCACAGCAGAATGAACCGCCAACTTATCCAGCATATGTTTTACAAAGCAGATGTCCTTCCAGCTGCATCCCAGTAATGGGAAACACCCAAACACACTCATTCACACACATACACTACGGCCAATTTCATTTCCTTCAGCTTAGTCCCTTTATTCATCAGGGGACACCACAGCGGAATGAACGGACAACTTATCCAGCATATGTTTTACACAGCGGATGCCCTTCTAGCTGCAACCCAGTACTGGGAAACACCCATACCCTCTCATACACACAAACTCATAAGCCAATTTAGTTATTCCAGTTCTCCTGTAGTGCATGTCTTTGTACTGTGAAGGAAATCGGAGCACCCAGAGGGAGCCCACACCAACTGGTCAAATGCCATCTGACCCAGTAGGGACTCAAACCAGTGACCTTCTCAATGTGAAGCGACAGTGCTAACCACTGAGCCACCATGTCGCCTAATTAACAGTTAGTTCACCTAATAAAGAAAATTCTGATCAATTATGCGACCTCATATAGTCCCAATCTCCCGAGATCTTCGTTCATCATCAGAAAACAAGATATTTTAGATGAAATCTGAGTGCTACCTCGTCATCCATAGACAAGCAACGAACATTCAAAGTTCCGAAAAGAAACCAAAAACCTTGTAAAATCATTCTATGTGACTTCAGTGGTTAAACTGCATTCATATGAAGCTTTTTCTTAGATAACAACAGCTAAATAACACAGGCTCATCCAAGAACTTCGAACTAGCGGTCCGCAGAAGTCTAGTCAGCTCCCGCCGCTCCCGCGGTAGAGCCGCGGGACCCGGCCAGATTTCTGCAGCATGGGAATACATTTCCGAATACAGTCGGTAACTGGTTTAATTTTGGACGGGAGCAGCCAATCTAACAATTTCGCTCCCGACTCCCAAGCGAGTGAGCACGCGTATGTATGTGTGTGAATGAGACAGCGGTTTGCTTGGTTTAGCTTGTTGGTTGCTGTGTGTGCGTGTGCATGTGTGCGCGAATGAGAGAGAGCTTTGTGCTGTCTGTGTGTGCGTGTGTGTGTGAATGAGAGACAGAGCGTGATGCCTATGTGTGTGTGTCACTTGCTTGGTGCTTATGTGTGTGTGTGTTTATTCAGACAGCGTGTTATAGGCTGTCTGGACTCTGTATAGCTGGGTAGTTTTCGGTTTTGTTCTCCTCCTGTCCGTTAGCAGGAACGGACGGGGCGGGTCGGACAGCGGGACAGCAAATGCTGAATATAAGCGGGAGCGGTCGGGTTCGGGCTAAAACCTAGCGGGAGCGGGATTGAAAATGTAGTCCTGCGCAGATCTTTACTTTCAATCCTTCGAATCTCTTTGACTGTCAGTGAATATGAACAAATCCATACACATACTTCCACATTCATATCTGTCTGCTTGTCTGTCACACCAGTTTTTGCCTATTTGGCGCCATCTTGTGAAAGATTAATACGCAAGTTAGTGTATACTGTATTCAGCCGGTTTAGTTTCTGTCAGCTTTGGGTTTTTGACTTTTTGGCGCCATCTTATGACGGAAAAATGCACAGATTAGTGTATCCTCCATTAGCTGTTTTCAGTTTGGTCAGCTTTCCGTTTAATTAAAGAGTTCATCAACTATTGAGGCTCAGAACAATGTTTTCTGTCTAATTTTTATGTCTTGTGGCAAGTAGCCCTGTAATAAGCAGGATAAAGGAAATCCAGGATGATTGTTTTCACAGAATGAAGCCCTTCAGTCTTATACAACAGTGCTCCGCTTCTTGAAACCTGTCTGGATTTATTCTCTGATAACAACCTCCAGGATGTACTTTATCCCTAACTTAATTAAAGTCATCTGTGACTCCTGAAACAGCGTGTGTTTGTTGTCAGTACCGTTCTCTTTGCACAGCACAAAGAGCAGATCAGCAGCGCAGTGTTTGAGCTCCGTGTCCAGATGGGTCATCAGTCTGACCAGACGATTCCTCATGGTGCTTCCCTTCTCAGGTTTAGTGCTGGCGTCTTTTAGCGGAGGCAAAATCTGCACAGGAAAACACACTCAGTTTGGCACAATACAATCAGACAACACTGCTAATCTGAACCGGTGGCCATGCCTGTTGTCTGAGGTAGAGTCTGGTGTCTCTGTGAGCTCTGGAGCATTCGGCCAGCAAGTTCAGCACTGGGGTCAGTCTCTCCTTCACCTTCTCACCCTGTATGGGTTAGAAAACACATTAGCTATGAGCAAACGCCATCATGAACAATTAAACCTGATTTAAGCGGGTCATTCATTCGTTTTCCTTTGGCTTAGTCACTTATTTATCAGGGGTCGCCACAGAGGAATGAACCACCAACTATTTCCGGATATGTTTCACTCAGCAGGTGCCTTTCCATCCACAACCCAGTACTGGGAAACACCCATACACTTTAACACACACACTCATACACTACGGCCAATTTAGTTCATCCAATTCACCTATAGCTCATGTCTTTGTGCTAAGGGGGAAACCAACATGAACAAGGGGAGTTTAAGGGGTCATATCATATCGATTTTTTTATCCATGGAGCATTAAATACTATTAAAGATCAGATTTAAATGCAAAATAAGTAAATAAATCTGGCAATAAATCAGGTACTAAACCCAAGTAAAATTATTCACTCATTTCTTGTCAGCTTAGTCCCTTTATTAATCCGGGGTCGCCACAGCGGAAGGAACTGCCAACTTATCCAGCAAGTTTTTACGTAGCGGATGCCCTTCCAACCACAACCCATCTCTGGGAAACATCCACACACACACACTCATACACTACAGACAATTTAGCCTACCCAATTCACCTGTACCGCATGTGTTTGGACTGTGGGGGAAACCAGAGCACCCGGAGGAAACCCACGCGAACGCAGGGAGAACATGCAAACTCCACACAGAAACGCCAACTGAGCCGAGGTTCGAACCAGCGCCCAGCGACCTTCTTGCTGTGAGGCAACAGCACTCCCTACTGCACCACTCCGTCGCCATTGTATATTAGTGTTCACTTGTATTTGGTAAGCTTCTAGTAAGCTTCTGAAGACATTATGATTTCCCTGTGTGCAGTCTTTTAATACAGTATATCGATTAATATCTTTCGTTTCTTTCATTCCTTATTTAATCCCTTCCCTGTGTCTTTACCTGCTCCAGCTTTCTCTCCATGTATGTGAGCAGGTTGTGCACACAGTCCATGTTGGCTCCATTGATCTGGTGTGAGTCTGGAGCCAGGGGGACACACACCAGAACATCTAGACAGCTGAGCGGGAGAGCGGACAGAGTGTTGGCTGCATGCCTGAAAATAACACAAAGAGATCTGAGCTCGAAAACTGACCAGTTTTTTAAGGGTCGTCAAACCCTGGAATCAATTTTAAGAGATTTCAAAGTCGCCATGAATGTAAAATTTATCAGTTTAAACAATGTTTTATTATTATTATTTTTTTTTAAATCTATTTAAAAAATATATGTTTATACCTGTGATTGTGCACTGTAAATATACTTTCATTTTTATTTTATTTTATTTTTCAGAAATTGTTGTTAGATGTTTATTACAGTTATTAAGTTATTCATTCATTTTCTTGTCGGCTTAGTCCCTTTATTAATCCAGGGTCGCCACAGCGGAATGAACCACCAACTTATCCAGCATGTTTTTACGCAGCAGATTCTCTTCCAGCCGCAACCCATCTCTGGGAAACATCCACACATTCACACACACACACTCATACACTACAGACAATTTAGCCTTCCCAATTCACCTGTACCGCATGTCTTTGGACTGTGGGGGAAACCGGAGCACCCGGAGGAAACCCACGCAGGGATATTAAGTTATTACATATTTCATTATAAAGAAAAGAAAAATCACACACTTTTCGAGTAGGTACTTCATTTGCATTTATTTTTATTAAAAAAGGCATTAGACTATATGATTATATTTATGTTATAATTATATTAATGTTTTATTATATTTTTTGTGAGGTGGAGAAGATTACCCATCACTGAGATGGACGAGATGAGAATGAGAGGAAAGCTATCAGACAGAAAAAAAAAGGAAGAGGCCGTGCTTTCTGTGAAACTGGTCAGGTTGACACAGGCTAGTTTTGGCAAATTTAGACATATGAGAGAGAAATACTTAAATCTAATTCCTCATTTTAAACAGATCAGATGCAGGTGTTGCTGAGGGAAATCTGTCAGACATGTACCAGATATAATAATACATGCATATGAATTAAATAGCCTATTTGATAAAAATAAATAAAAGTCCATTGGAATAATTTTATATTACAAATACTCAAAATTAAATATTCCTAAAATGTTATAATATAAAACAGATTGTAGCAATTTAACTTTAAATTTACCATGGATTTCACATTTTTAGAAACTCCCTTATGTTACCCAGGTTAAAAAAGTGCACTAAAATGCACTTTATTTAAGTATACTTAGTACTAAAAGTGTACTTTTCAGTACTGTACTAAAAGTGCTCTATTTTCACACACTAATTTTGTACTTAATGTACTAAAAGATAGTATTAAGTATATGTTAAGATAAATTTAATACCATCTAAGTGTACTCAACTGTGTTATTTTGAGACACCTTGAAAGTGAACTAAAATGTGCTTTTAACACACTATATCTGTATTTTAAAAATAATTATATTTAGTTACAACTAGAAATACACTTGAACCCTATTAAACATTTAAATATATTTATGACTAATTTAAAGTATAATAGTAATATATTAAAAGAATATACAAACTGTAAAAAGGTGTGCTAAATACTGTATTATAAGTGCTCTATTTTCCCAAACTAATTTTGTATTCAATGTACTAAAAATTAGTATTAAGTACATTTTAAGATAAACTTAAGTACATCTAAGTGTACTCAACTGTGCTATAATGAGACACCATGAAGCTGATCTAAAATGTGCTTTTAACACACTAAACATTTATTTAAAGAATATATTTTGAAGGCATACTATGTGTTTAAAGAAAACCGCATCTGTGCTTCATCAAAACACTTTAACCTTTTTGTGCAATAAACCACAAGTCCAAAAATACCTTATGAGAGGGAACAAAAACTTAGCAAAAACCGAGAACACAAAAATATAAATAAGATGCAACATTACAGCACATATATGAAATGTAAAGACATTTTGGGAAAATGTACTTCTGCTACAATACATTACTAATAGATTTTTATTAAAGTCAGTTTAATATAAACTTAAAATGACCACACTCAAAATCTATTTAAGTGTTAGTGATAATATTGCATTCACATTAAGTGTACTTTAGTGCAATTTTTGGGAAAATGTACTTTTACTACAATACATTCCTAATAGATTTTTTATATATTAACTTATTTTAAACTTAGGATTAGTATGTGAACAGTGTACTAAAAATCAACTGATGTTTAAAGCATTTAAAGCACACTTTTGAAGAACACACTAATAAAACTCTTTTGGATGTTTTTACTGTAGTGTACTTTATTGTAGTACACTAAAAATATATTTAAGTATTACTGGTATTTGGTATGCTTTTGTCAAGTGTACTAAAGTCCTACTGAAGTGTAAACATACTTTTAATTAGAATATTTATAGTGTAAAACTATCAAACTTTTATTTAACACAAAAAAATAAAAATGTACTAAAAATGTATTTGCGGGTATTTTTTTCACCTGGGTGCCAAAGCTTATACGTTTGTTTAGTAAAAAAAATACCCCTGCTGAAAAAAACAGCTTAAGCCAGTCTAGGCTGGTTGACTGGTGTTAGCTGGTTGACCAGCCTGGTTTTAGAGGGGTTTGGGCCATTTCAAGGCTGATTTCCAGCCATTTCCAGCCTGGTCTTAGCTGGTCAGAGGGGAATCTTGGATCGATGTACCCCTGTGCGCCCTCCAGGAATTATAAAATCCTGTCGGACACATTGACAATATGTGCAGGAATTTCTTACAGGTTTTACAATGGAATCAAGCAAGCGGCACATCCTGCACGACTTGCAGGAGTTATTTGCTGTAATTGGAATGAAAAAAAGAAATTCTGTCACTTGCTGTCATTAGCAATACAATGAGTTCTAACAGATAAACAATACAACAAACAATAAATAAATAAATACATAAATAAATAAAAGTATACAAATAGATGACAGGCATTTATAAAAATCAACCATTATTCTAAACCAGTGGTTCTCAAACTGTAGTACGCGAGCTTCCTTCTAGTGTTATGCGCAGGAATCAATTATGTCATATGTACATGCTACAAATGTATCAAAAATGATTTATACATGAATATGATGACATGTAGCCTATATTTCTAGGTGTTGATAAATATGTTAACACTTTACAGGAGTACAGGATTTTTTTTTCTTTTTACGCACAGTAACCTATCATTTTTTACTTTTGAAAGCACATTTTAATTTAAATGGTGACTTTTTTGTACATGTAAGCACAGTGCAGGGTTAATGTTCAAACTATTTATAATGTTTAAAGTGGCGGACAATTATATTCTTATTAATCTGCCTTGTTTTTAAACTGTAGCTGCTTGACTGGGCCTACTACTTTACTGTATTTCAATACTGCTTATTATGGGGGTACTTGGAGAGACAATTTTTTTTTCTGAGGTGGTACTTGATGAAAAAAGTTTGAGAAGCACTGCTCTAAACCATTTAAGTTATGCATTTATTAAAATGTTAATCTAGCTATCTATTTTAATTCAACTCCCATCTGTTTGGTTGGATGCAAAAAAACATAATGAAATAAATAAAAACAGCAACACCGGTCCTTTAGGTGTTAAACGTACGTCTGTGCATTTTATGTGCATTTTATGAGTTTAACAGAGTGTATCTCTCTTTCTTTTAAAATGTTTGTTGCTGTTATCCCTGATTCTGTCTTTTAGACCTGAGCAACCTGTTTTATTCTGTGTCAATTGCCTTTTTGTGGCAGCTCTTCATTTAAGTACACTTTTTATTCCATTTTTATCCTTTAAAATCCCACATAGCAAAATTTCTCTGGCCCAGCTCTGGCCCACACAATCAGGTTTTGCTTGGCCCACATACCGCAGTGAATTACGGTACATGACTAGACCAAATCTGGCTTCCAGACAAGGGCCAAACAGGGACCATATCTGGGCCAAGTCTCAGCCAAGTTAATAACTCATAACTGGGCCTGAACTGGGCCAGATAGGTTGGTGTGTCACGATTGCAATGAAATTGATAAACCCATGGAGTGATGCGCTTTAGGCACACTATGGGAACGCTTTTTCTCAAAGTGACCTGATTGGTAGAATTTTTTTTCTTTACTCAAAAATGATTTTAGTGTATTTGAAATGTGGGTCAAGACTGGCCAAACTCAAATGGCCCACTTATCAAATTTTTAAATCTGGGCCAAATACTACGTTTTTTATCTGGCCCAAATCTTGTGTGCCGCCTTAAAGACGGTGCCACCTCTGCCAAACCCGGGCCATGTTTGGCCCACATGCTGTATGCCAGTGCCGGATGAATGCCTGCTGTGCCAGCTTTATGCCAAATCTGGGCCAGAATTCTTTGCTACTAGGGATGATGCAGGTTAGTGTTATTGTGATTGGTAAACATAATGTGTTTTCTGCAATGTTCAAGTAAATTTAATTAGTAAAATTATTATAAACATTCATTTATTGTCAGCTTAGTCCCTTTATTATCCAAGGTTGCCACAGCGGAATGAACTGCCGACTTATCCAGCAAGATTTACGCAGCGGATGCCCTTCCAGCCGCAACCCATCTCTAGGAATCATTCACGCACACACTTATACATTAGGGACAATGTAGTCTACCCAATTCTGTACTGCATGTCTTTTACTGTGGGGGAAACTGAAGCACCCGAAGGAAACCCACGCGAAAGCAGGGAGAACATGCAAACTCCGACAGCGCTGCCTACTGCGCTGCCTTTGCCCCATTTATTAAATATTTTAAATAAAATAATATATAAATGCAAAATCAAAATTTCAATTAGACAATACATTGCTGCCAACAGTGTTGAATAATCTGCTGATATTGCTTTCATTACATTTTAATCATCACCTAATATTAAATAACAAAAAAAAAAAAAAAAAAAAAAACGATAAGCACAAACCCCTTCAACTCATCTGCAGCTTCCTCCTCCTCACAGGAAACCATCAGGCAGTGACGTAAAACCGCAGCCAGGTGGCGATAGAGAGACGCGTCATCCTGACAGATCAAAAGCACAACACTATAGTATAGAATTGCAAGTAGTTGTTTTATGAGTGTGTGCGTGTGCTTTATGTTCAGTCACCTCTTCGGGCTCTTGCGTGTGTGTGCTGTGTGTGATGTTAAAGAGGATCTTGAGGGCCTCCTGCGCCTGCTGTGATTCCTCCACACGTATGGGAGGCGCTGTGGAGTCTAGAAGCACCTCATACTGACTCCGCCACTGCACTGATAAACAGCGCTCCAGCACGGCGGTCAACAGAGGCACTCCGCCCTCCTACAGGTACACGAACAGCACACATCAATATGAAGGTGTCAAACCTTTTTATGTGTGAAAAATAAGCAGTAATGTTATAATATTTACAAAAGGGTTAACAGTTACTTCCACAGGTATGACAACAATGTGAAATCGTGTACAAACATCATTTTTTTCGTGCATAACGTTACATTTTGAGTGTAAGCACATGTTTCAAACAAATTAAATTGCAAAAAGATGATATAATGTACACAATTTAGGAAGGGCCAGTCTGAATCTTAAGGAATTTTGTTCTATTTCTGTCCATAATTTGTACAAAAGATCTTTTCTGGGTTATTTTTGAGAGTATAGTGACTAAAAAAATGAACAAATGAAATAAAAATATATAATTGAATAACTTTTTTTAAGGTCTACAATGCAAATCCAATTAGATCTGAACCACTTGTTTGTTAAAGTCTCTCACGTATACACACACTCACACTCATCGGCCACTTTATTAGGTATACTTCACTAGTACCGGGTTGGATGCCCTTTTGCCTTCAGAACTGCTTTAATCCTTCATGGCAGAGATTCAACAAGGTACTGGAAATATTCCTCAGAGATTTTGCTCTACATTGACATGATAGCATCACACAGTTGCTGCAGATTTGTTGGCTGCACATCTATAATGCGAATCTCCCGTTCCACTACAAAGATGCTTATTGCATCGGGTTCTGGTGACTGTGGAGGCCATTTGAGTACAGTGAACTCATTGTCAAGTTCAAGAAATCAGTCTGAGGTGATTTGTGCTTTATGGCATGGTGCGTTATCCTGCTGGAAGTAGCCCGAAGTGTGCCAAGAAAATATCCCCCACAACATTAAACCACCACCACCAACCTGAACCGTTGATACAAGACAAAGACTTTCATGCCAAATTCTGACCCTACCATCCAAATGTCGCAGTGGAAATTGAGAAAGGGCAACTTTTTCCCAATCTTGGAGTCCAGATTTGGTGAGCCTGTTCGAATTGTAGCCTCAGTTTCTTGTTCTTAGCTGACAGGAGTGGCACCCGGAGTGGTCTTCTGCTGCTGTTACCCATCCGCCTCAAGATTGGACGTGTTGTGTGTTCAGAGATGCTCTTCTGCAGACCTCAGTTGTGGTTATTTGAGTTACTGTTGCCTTTCTATCAGCTTGAACCAGTCTGGCCATTCTCCTCTGAGCTCTGGCATCAACAAGGCATTTGTGCCCACAGAACTGCCGCTTACTGGATATTTTGTCTTTGTCAGACCATTCTCTTTAGACCCTAGAGATGGCTGTGCATGAAAATCCCAGTAAATCAGCAGTTTCTGAAATACTCAGACCAGCCCGTCTGGCACTAACAACCATGCCACATTCAAAGTCACTTAAATCCACTTTCTTCTCCATTCTGATGCTCGGTTTGAACTGCAGTAGATCGTCTTGACCATGTCTACATGCCTAAATGCATTGAGATGCTGCCATGTGATTGGCTAATTAGAAATTTGCGTTAACGAGCAGTTGGACAGGTGTACCTAATAAAGTGGCCGGTAAGTATTATATACAATAATATAATTAATTATTATAAGTATCAACTAACATCAACTGTGCTACATTTGTTCCAGAAGTTATTATATTGTAAATTTTGATTTCACACAGACTTTAATGTTACGTTAATAAACAACAACTATACGTTTTTAGCTCCAGCTTTACTAAATTTAGCGTAAATGATGACTAAACTTAGAGTAAATGATGACAGAATTTTAATTTTTGGGTGTACTGTTTTTTAACTAGTCTTAACAAATGGACTCTTATTATTGTAAAGTGTTGATGAACATTGATAAATGTCACTTCTGACCAATTAATGTGACCTAACTGTTCTCCGTATTATGTAAATGTACCTACAATAATAGCAGAATTGTTAAACATGGAATGAAACAGAAAAGAGAAACGGTTACTTGTTTGAGCTGTGCTCTGAGTTCAGGTCTCAGCGCTGTCAGTAAAAACATGAAGCGCAGTGTGTAAAACTGGCCAGCGGTGGAGGAAGCCGAATGAAACTCCCTACTGAGCTTCTCTGTCAGACCACAGAGGAGACTGAAGCACAGGACATGGAGAGAACAGAAATAAACAACGACATGTTAAATACGACATTCAAATTCACCAAAACATGTTTTTAATTTAGTTTTTAATTAATTTATTACATTTCTGACCACAGACAGACTACAAAACCAGTCATAAAGGTCAACTTTCTAAAAATGAGACTGTCTGAAAAGCTGAATAAATATGTTGCCACCAGGGCTTGACACTAGCACCCGCCAAATGTAGGTAGATTTCAGCTGTGGCGGGTAAGACAGCTGCTCTAACTAGCCACTCTGGCCGGTTAAAAATATTTTTGAAATTGTAGTTTTCTTAAAAGCAGGGTTCGACAATAAGGGTGGCCCAATATGCGTGCAAATGTCATCTTAGAATCAAGAAGCAGCACGACTGACAAAAATAATTGTGTTTGCGACCAGCAAAAGAGGCAGATAAACACAGAATAAGAGGATGATCACTCGCGAGCACAGTTTAAAAAAGCGCACGTGTTTCCTTCCGTGATGGCGCGAAGCAACCGTGCCTGGTTGCACCAGTTGCAAAATGAAACTGGTGCGATTAGTTCTCTTTGAAATAGACTGGACAAAAAAATGATGCTAGCACACCCACAATTCTGCTTTCAATAACTCCAGATTTTAAAAAAATATATCCTCAAGCAGCAGCGGTTGCCGCTTTCACTTTAAACATTCTTTGAACAGATTATTAATGTGCCTAATGGTAACCGTGTGCATGTGAGCATCCTTTTATTATCACACACAGTTTGTTTTTTTACCTGCTTTGTTTTGCTTGCAGTTATTTTTGTTAATATGGTTTAATTATCATTGCTGTTACAATGACGTTGCTGTAATAGGAGATTAACTCATTTATGTGTAGTTAAATGGTGATATGAGACCTAATTTTCATAGGTTTTGTTGAATAAAAAGTGCACGTATACAGCTATATTTAACTTGTTTTTTACACTAAGAAATAGTCATTTATTTATTTTTGGTGTGGTCAGAAATAAATTTGATAAATCCTTAATTTTGAACCCTGAAAAGTCATGTAGAATAAAAACTAATAGCAATGCTTCACTATGAAACCACAACCTATTTGCTCATGCACATAGAGCAATCTCATACACAACACACACAACAAAGTTAAATGAATGAGAAGGCATGTGGACATAACACAAAATCTAAATCAAGTAATTTTAGCATGTAAAAGTCAAATTTATGCAAATAAAATAATTTTTTCCAACGAAATCGTGGCTAGTAATGATGATGAGTGGCTAGTAATGTTGGAAATCTATTAGCCACAGTGGCTGGGGATCAAAAAAAATAATGTCAAGCCCTGATTGCCACTGATGTCTGGTTCATTAGGATGGGACAAAATTTGGCTGAGAAGAGATATAACTCTGAAAATCTGGAATCCGAGGGAATTTTGGGCACTTTGAAAAAAAAAATCACCTTTTAAGTTGTCCAAATCAGGTATTTAGCAATGCATATTACTAAACTGAATTTAAGTTTGACATATTTACAGTAGGAAATTTACAATACATTTTTAAGGATGTTTTTATAAGACCATAATGATTTTAGCATAAAAGAAAAATCCATATTTACAGTTGAAGTCAGAATTATTAGCCCCCCTGAATTACTATATATGTTCATTTTTCCCCCAATTCTGTTTAATGGAGAGCAGATTTTTTCAACATATTTCTAAACATAATAGTTTTAATAACTCATTTCTTATAACTGATTTATTTTATCTTTGCCATGATGACAGTAAATAATATTTGACTAGATATTTTTCAAGACACTTCTATTTAGCTTTTAATGACATTTAAAGGCATAACTTGGTTAATTAAGTTAACTAGGCAGGTTATGGTAATTAAGCAAGTTATTGTATAACGATGGTTTGTTCTGTAGACTATCAAAAACAATATATTTTAAAGGGGCTAATAATATTGACCTTAAAATGGCTTTTAAAAAATAAAAGCAGCTTTTATTCTAGTCGAAATAAAACAAATAAGACTTTCTCCAGAAGAAAAAATATTCTCAGACATACTGTAAAAATTTCCTTGCTTTGTTAAACATCATTTGGGAAATATTAATAAAATAATAATTCGGCTAATAATTCTGACTTCAACTGTGTATTTATAATTGTTTTGATAATAAAGATGTGTCGTGCCTGAGTTCGCTGGCTCTCTCTTGTGCCCAAGCACTATTGTAAACGATGTTACAGAAGATTTTCATCACTTCCTTCCTGTGGACTTCCTCCTCATCTTTTTCCTCCTCCTCCTCGGCTCCTCCCAGACTTCCTCTGCTGTCTCGTTTCCCAGGCATCAGAGCTTTAAAAACGCTGCTCCTCCTGCGGGTTGGCCCGAGGCTCATGTTTGAGAAGGTGCTGGCCTTTCTCTCTCCACACCAGTCTCCAGGCCCCCAAACCGCCAGCTCATTGGATTCACTGCTTACTGCCCCAAAACCATCGTCTTCCTCATAATCGGGCTCCTCCGCTCGGCCCAGTTTGAGCTCAGAAATGGCCACCATGACATCAGTGTAGGGGTCTCCATCCCCGTCAGTGTCTTCTTTTGGTACAGGGGCGTTGCTGATGCCGCCAAGGTGTGCTAGAGTCAGAAGAGCTCTGTCTGTGACCAGCGGCCCCAAAACCTTCTTGTCCCTGGAGAGAATCCGTAGGGATCTCAGACATGCTTTCAGCACACGGCCTTGCGGTTCAGTCTGAAGGAACCTGATCAAAACTGTGGCCAGAGCCTGAGGGCGACACGCACACAAAAGCTGTTTTTCCACACAACTACAGTGCATCCGGAAAGTATTCATAGCGCTTCACTCTTTCCACATTTTTTTATGTTACAACCTTATTCCAAAATGGATTTAATTCATTTATTTTCTCAACTTAATCAGTGAACATGTCAGTGCTATAAGAATGCCAAGTCCTTGTGTCATTGTGTATGCTTAAGACAGCAGTGGTGTAAAGTAACTAATTACAAATACTCTAATTACTGTAATTGAGTAGTTTTTTCTCAGGGATTGTAATATACTAAGTAGTTTTATAAATGTGTACTTTTACTTTCACTTGATCACATTTTTAATGCTGTATCAGTACTTTTACTTCACTACTTTCCTTCAACCTGCAGTCACTACTTTTTTATTTCTTGTCTATGGGAATTAGAAAAATCCTGCCTGTGATTCCTGTCTAATCAAATCACACATAGAAGGTAAATCGCCTCATAATGAACCTCAAGACATGGGCGATTTATAAATGCAGCAAACTGTTTTGAAGCATTAAAAGTGTCCAAGAAGACATCCACAATCTTTACACATTGACCCAGAGACTGTTAGATGCATGTCACTGATGAGAAGAGGACAAATGTTTGCTGTTAAATGACAAAAATGGGCTTAAACACTCAGCAGACACAAGACATCAACATAACGTCAGATTGACGTTGTACCCCAATGTCGTGGGGACGTTGCATTTTGTTTGGTATTTACTTTGATCTTCTATGTAAAGCTGCTTTGACACAATTTACATTGTAAAAGCGCTGTACAAATAAAGGTGAATTAAATTGAAAAAATTGGGTTGACGTCAGAGCTCAATGTCAGACCAACGTCAATGTCCAACCTAAAACCAATCAAATATCAACATCTAATGATGTCATGGCTTGAAATTGTGTGAACGTTATGACGTCTATCAGATGTTGGATTTTGGTTGCCATACCTGAGGAATAAATGTCAGTATTTAATATCAATATGATGTTGGTTTATGATGTTGGCTCGACGTTGGATTTTGGTCACTTTCTAATGACCTAAAATTGACCAAATATCAACGTCATTTGACGTCATTATTGGACATCAAAATAACGTTGTCCTCAGATGCTGGCTAGACATTGAATTTTGGTCACCTGACCTCACAACATAAATCTAATCTAATATTAATGTCCTATGGCGTTGTGTGCCTGCTGGGCAATAACTACATGCACTACAGAATGTTACGTTTACACACATCCAAAAATTACATGTAAACGCATCAGCTTTATACAGCGTAATACTCACTACTCACACTTTTAAAAGGGCTACTTTTTAATCATACTCTGAGTAATATTTACAACAGATACTTTTAATCTACTTGCACTACATTTTTAGGCAAGTAATGGTACTTTTACTTGAGCATGATTTTTCAGTACTCTTTCCACCACTGTAAGACAATCAAATTACTTAGTCATGGTGTCAATCCGACAGTGTGCTCTTGTGGGGTGTTCTGATGTAAAATATGGCTTTTTTGCTGTTGTGCTGTAATTTGTTTGCAGATCATGTCATTGTAATACAGAAAGGAAACACAGCACTGGATAGCATAAAAAAACTAAGCAAAAGTGGACACGTGAACATAGGACTCCCTTAGCAATCTCTTTCGAGATGCACCTTCATTAGAAGATGTCAAGACTCACCTGGGAGAAATGTACCAATTGTAGTGGAAATGTATAGAAAAATTCATTATGATAAGATTTTGTGACAACTTGTTCAGCCATTTTGTATGCAAAGACTCGTGCCATGAACAAACGATTAAATGTTGTGCACTGCAAAAAATGCTTTTCTTGCTTAGATTTTTTGTCTTGTTTCTAGTCTAAATATCTAAAATTTCTTAAATCAAGAAGCATTTTCTAGATAAGCAAAACATATTATCTTGTTTTGAGAAATTATATGCCAATATTAAGTGAGTTTTTCCTTAATACAAGCTAAAAAATCTGCCAATGGGGTAACCAAATTAATCTTGTTTTTGCTTTTGACGTAAGATTATTTTGCTTACCCCATTGGCAGATTTTTTAACTTGTTTTAAGGAAAAACTCACTTAATCTTGGCATATAATTTCTGAAAACAAGACAATGTGTTTTTCTTGTCTAGAAAATTCTTCTTAATTTAGGAATTTTTAGATGTTTGGACTAGAAACCAGAAAAAAATCTAAGCAAGAAAAGCATTTTTTGCAGTGTGAGGCTCGTCAACAGAAACCAAAATAATATACTTTGATCAACGTGACATAAGCAATTGATAATGTAGGAAAAAGCAGAGAACTGCACATAATCATCTGCATAGATGTACAAAAGCATTTGCAACTTGTTCATAACGAGAAGCTGCTTTTCTGATGTGCACAATTGACAGTCATGTGAAGATTGAGTTTTGAGAATTTCTATTCTGATCTGAGAAATGGACCAAAACGACTGAAAAACTGAATATTTATATGAATATTTGGCGGCAGTTTATCAGGAAGTGAGGATTTTGTTGTCATTGACTCAAACGGTGCTTTATTTGCTAGTGCTTTTTGCGATATTCCAGTTTTGTGCATACGCCTGGCCTGTTTCCATCTTTGGATGGATACAGATACCAGTAAAACAAGTGTAGTTCAAATGGTAATGTGTGTGTGTGTGTTTGTTTACCTGTCTTAAAAGAACATCTGGGTTACTGGACTCATCGTAGTCTGAATCGGAGTCCGACACATAATCACGCACTTTATTCTTTCGGAACTGCAGTGAAGAAAAAGTATAATCGTAACAAAACCACTGTAATTATACAGAGATTCATCCATTCAATTTGATTGTCATTACAATATACACTCTCAGAAATAAAGCTACAGGAGCTGTCACTTGGGGTGGTACCTTTTTAAAAGGTACACATTTCTACATAAAAGGTCCATATTTATACATTAAGGGTACATATTAGTACCTTAAAAGTACAAGAGTGTTCCTCTTACAATTTTTTGGTACTAATATACACGTTTGAGGTACTAATATGTACCCTTTAAGTACAAACATGTACCCTTTGAAAACATACCACCCCAGTGACAGTTCGCTTACCTTTATTTTTGAGTGTGTAAGGCCGCACTCACACTAGGTACAGTTGCCTCGAACCGGGCCAAAGCACGCTTGTCCCCCCTCCCGTCTCATAGTCATCATTAAAACTGATTAAATGACTGATTATTTTAAGTGCTGTAAGCAATGCAGCAAATGTAAACCACATTTTTAACCCTCTGGTGGTTCTCAAAAGAGGTCAAAATTGACCAAAGACAACAAGTGTAACAATTATTTCTGTAATCAATTTCAAATACACTCCGGATTATTTGGTATTTTGAGGAGATTTCATGGTAGCCGACATTAATAACTTCAAAATGTGAGCATAATTTAAAAAAAAAACGAAATATTGGGCATGAAGGCAGCAGAGCTTTTATTATGCCACAGTTCTCCTCTTTCTGACTTCCACTTGTGATCACATGGAGAAGAAGCAGCTCTGTTTTATCAGACTAATTGCTGCTCTGTGCAGTCTAATAAAATACAAACAATAATACTAAAATAACATATTAAGGCCTCTATTCTGTTTTCCTGTTTTCTAAAACCCAACCGAAAATGAAGGGTGTGTGACGTCATTAGCATGAACACACAGTACAAGCTCCATCTTACCAGTTCAAGTGTCTTATTTCTCAGGATTTGGACATTCTTTGTAAGATTTGATATAATGTAATAATGTAAGTACCTAAGTCACTGTTCTGGGGCCTCATGTGTATATATATATATATATATATATATATATATATATATATATATATATATATATATATATATATATATATATATATATATATATATATATATATATATATATATATATATATATATATATATATATATATATATATATATA